GTTATTATTATGCAAAAGCCATTTAAGTTTCATTTTATGCCCTTGTACAAAAGAAGTGCAAAACTCTGGTTTGGAATAGAGGAGAGTTAAGGACACAAGAAATGAAAACAAATACCAACTTCACAAGGCGAGCTGAGCTTTAACAGAAGAAATACTTGCTGTAGACTTGCATTGGGAATGAGGGAGAAAGAAGTTGTAGAATTATAGAATCATGGTTAGAAAAGACCTCCAAGATCATCAAGTCCAACCCTACTGTCGTTACTGGACCATGGCACTAAGTGCCACATCCAGTCGCAGCTTGAAAACCTCCAGGGATGGTGAATCCACCACCTCCCTGGGCAGCACATTCCAATGCCTGAGCACTCTCTCCCTAAAAAATCTCTTCCTAATACCCAACCTAACCCTCCCTTGGAAGAGCTTGAGTCTGTGCCCTCTTGTCCTGCTGCTGGTTGCCTGGGAGAAGAGACCAACCCCCACCTGACTCCAACCTCCTGTCAGGGAGTTGCAGAGGGTGAGAAGGTCTCCCCTGAGCCTCCTCTTCTCCAGGCTCAACACCCCCAGCTCCCTCAGCCTCTCCTCATGGCACTTGTGCTCCAGTCCCTTCACCAGCCTCGTTGCTCTTCTCTGGACCTGCTCCAGCACCTCAATGTCCCTCCTGAGCTGAGGGGCCCAGAACTGAGCACAGGATTCAAGGTGTGGCCTCACCAATGCCAAGTGCAGGGGCAGAATCACCTCCCTGGTCCTGCTGACCACACTGTTCCTGATCCAGGCCAGGATGCCATTGGCCTTCTTGGCCACCTCAGCACACTACTGGCTTATCTTCAGCTTCCTGTCTGTCCAATTGTGATTGCAGATAGTGGCATAAGTATAATTTAATAAATCATCAATTGAAAGCAATAATCCTTGACTAGCTATAATCCTTGACTAACATTACTCAAGACAATCCAGTAAGTCAGTACCCAGTGTTTTTCTTAGGTTTCAAACCCACCTGGTCAAAGAGAACTGCAAAGTTTTATTTTAAAACTACACATTTTCCTCCTCACTGATACTGACTTTGACATCTTAGTTGCCTTTGTCTTCTTTTCTTCTTCTTTTTCCTGACTTAATATTGTAAGAATTGCAGTGTTTCTATGTGATAGGATCTGCAGTGGAACAAAAGTGCTCATTTAGAAAAAAATATTCTTATTACTAGCCCTGAGTGGAAAGAATGCATAGTCCTCATCAGGGAGTTGCAGGCTTTAATCTTCTGTGGGTTATTTCCAAATAATGGGTGAATTGTATGCAAAGTAATGACCCTTTTAAGAATTTGGAGGCTTAGAGTACAGTTGCTGAATAATTCTGAGCTTATTTAGTTGTTTTATTTCAGTAAGAGGGAATGTTCTTGTAAAGATGTTGGTATAGGCTAGGAGTTAGCAGATGTGGTTAGTATCTATTCTCCAGTCTGTGGATGAGAACTTGAAGAAGTGTAAGCCTCTCTGTTGCTTATATATGTCTAATGTATGCACTCTATCATGCAGATAAGAAACAAAGCCAGGAAGGGTGTGTAGCATGTCAGAAAATAGAGCTCTCTCTATGCCTGGCAGTGTCAGAATGTTGTGTTGAGCAGAACAGTGAAGGGTGATGATTGATCACTCCAGTTCAGACATGTAGATAATTGGTGGTGGGGCCCAATTAACAAGTGACCCTGAAGCCAACCTTGTCATCACATCCCACTTAAGTACTCATCTTTTTTGTTTAGTTATTTATTTCCATCTCTTCCTTTTGGTCCTTCACAAGCATTGCTCCTGATCAGGTCTGAGCAAGGCCTTGTTTTTACCTGCAGCCAGTTCTATCAGGTACTCATCGATGGGTGGACATTATTGATGATGTATCTTTTTCTGCTGTTCTGCTCAGATGACAGTGCCTCTGCTGCGAGCAGTATGGAGGTAACGGATCGCATTGCCTCTCTGGAGCAGCGTGTCCAGATGCAGGAAGATGACATCCAGCTGCTCAAATCTGCCCTTGCTGACGTGGTTCGACGCTTGAACATTACGGAGGAGCAGCAGGCCATGCAGAACAAGAAAGGACCTACCAAAGGTTTGCATTTCAGAGAGATATAAAGTAGGGAGTGCAACTCACTAGGTGTTTTATATGTATTAAAATTAGTTGTTCTCTAGATCTTGAGATACTCAAAATCAACTCCAAATAAAATACATTGGAATTTAACCTCGTAAAAATCCAAATGGTTAAATCTGTGAGTCTTCTATAGCTGACATGAACCAGCAAAGCATTTGCATGTTCTTAGTGCTTAAGCCACAATCTACATTTAACCATAGCTACCACTTCCTGACTTTTCATCAAGATTAGTTTATAAACTCTTTCAGGAATGCATTGTCTTCTGTGGGTGAAACTCCTAATAGGTTGGGGGGGTATCCAAAAAATGAATTAAACTTAAATAAAATGTTATTTGAATTTAATTAAAAATATCTGGAGTGTCTTTGGCTGGTGCAGACATAAGACAGAGCTCTAAGCTAGCTCAGAGGTGACACGACTGAGATGATACAACACCAGCTCTGCAGGAATGGGTTTGTCTGTGCATGAAAACTGGACTTGCACATCCAGCACTTCACTTACTAGAACCCAAGCAGTGTGATTTGCTGTGGTCTGGGAGGCTGCAGAGGCCTGGGAGAGACTGTCTGGCTGAGCCCAGTGGAAATACACACAGTATTTTTGAGTAGTCTCAGTATTAACAGTGGTGGTAACCTGGATGTGGAAAGAAAGTGTGGCTGACTTCACGCAGGCTCTCTTGTCTAAGTTAAGAAATTGTTTCTTTTGGGGTCCTGATGTGTGTTGGTATAAATAAAAACCTTAATTCACATCAGAAGTATGTTATGTAGCTATACATTCATCATTTTCTTAGCTGGAAGTTAGGACTTCCTTTCATCTCATTTATTTGTGCCTTCGCAATAGATATTTAGTTCCAGCCATTGATTTAACAGACTAGATGAGGAACTACTTAATTTGCTGAACTGAGGTGTCATGTTTGTTACAAAGTTTTGTGTCAGAGATGGGGAAAGGTGAAAGAGACACAACTACAGAGCCAGATTGGTTGTATATCATGCTAGTTGTCAGGCAAAATATGCAGTAAATATCTGTGATCTTGTTTTCATGTTCTTTTCCCCTTCTGTTGTATTTTCCTCATTTTGTCTTTGTTTTATTTAAAAAAATATTTTAAAATATCAGATAAGTTAAATGTTACAAAAGATAAGCTCCACTGTGATAAAATGTGCCATCAAATCTGGTTGTACAAGGGATTAAGAGGCTTCGTGTTGCCTGCAGAGTGGATATTATCTGATGCACAGAGGAAATAAAGTCTAGTAATTATTACTGAGTTGCAACCAAATCTGTTGTCGTTGCCTGCTGGCTCTGCTTAGCAAAATACAGACCAGATTTCCATGGATTCTGGGAGTGGAGCTGAGCTCTAAATCAGGAGAGGTTTTCTCAGTCCTGGCTGATCATTAGAGCCATAGTTCAGTGTACATTGCAGGAAAGCTGCTGTAAGCCAATCTCTCTGCTTTCTAGGGCTGGTTTTGGTTTTTTGGGGGGATTTCTTGGGGTGGTTTGTTTTCCTTTTCTTCATGTGTCTATGACATGGCTGCTTGTTACCATGTGTGTGAAATCACAGTGTAAGGAGCTCCGCTGTGATAATGCAAATGGAGCACTAGAAATGTCAATTGCTTTTCCATTGCAAATTACCAAAATGAGTCCTGGTACTTGCCAGCTATACCCACCTAATTGCTACTGTGACAGTTTATGTAAATAACTTGAATTTTGTTGTATCTCAGTTGTATCATTAGTGTATGGTCAACCTTATTAAACACGAATTATGAGCATGAAAGAGAATCTGAAGCATTTTGATTGCTTGTTTCTTCCAGCTCTTTTGTCAAATATGATACATGCCACATGTTGGCCTATTTTCCTGCAGCAGGCACAACTACTGTATAACAAATTGTATGCAGTTACTTAGCATAAGACTAAGTTGAATTTTGGCATTTTTGTTTGGAATAGCATTACAGAGGCTCCTGATGGAGACTGTTAGGAGAGGAGCTTGCCTAGGCATGGGAGGAGCTGGAGCAGTTTTTTCTCATGTTTTACCCCTTGGGCTGCATGGATTGGATCTGTTTACTTTCCCTTTATTGTGTAATGACTAATTGCACAGTTGGAATCGTAAAAAGTGGAATTTGATCTCACAGAATATGACAGAAATCCTGTCCATGCAAACTTGGGTTTGAAGCATTCTGTATGCTGCTGTTTTCACTTGTATATAGATGAAGTAGATCAGGATTAAAAATGTGTGTATGTGTCAAGGAGAGGTCTGTGCCTTTGGAAAGAACAGGATCCCCAGTGTACTGCTCGAAGTCTGGAACAAGAAGCTTCACAGGACAAACAGCTTCATTTTTCTGAGTATTTCAGATTTAAAATTGATTTCAAGATTTCAGGTTTCAGACTTCCAAATCTATGATGGAAAAAGGCTTGAGCTTGTTTCCAGTCTTTGTGTGTGTTCTTCTTCTGGACTTGAGCTAAGCAGCTTAAAAGTGTGCATCATGGAAAGGGAGCAGCTTATCTTGTCCATTTGTGGAGCTCTTTCACTAATGGTGTTTTTGTTTAGGATTTTGGGGTGGTTTTTTCCCCCTTATTTCATTCAGCTACTTGGCAGAGCTCAGTATGGCTTCCTGCCTTTGTTTTACTTGTGTTTGTTGTTCTTTCCTTTTGCAATTGTTGGTTTGTTTGTAAACTTAACAGCCCTATTAATCCATAGATCAGAGTGTGATTAAAAAAGCTGCTGCTGAGGCTGATAAACTTGTCAGTCCTGCTACCACAGGTAAGATCTTGAAGCAAGAGAACTTCCAAAATAAACATTACTGACAAAGCAATAACAACAAGGTGTTTGAGTTACTGACTCCTAACAGCAGTGACATGTTTGGGGTTGTGTGGCTGTGGTGCCAGTTACCACTGGTGTGAACTAGCTGTCGGAAATCAAACCAAATAGCTCCAGAATACACCGTGGATTAATTGAATAATTCCTAGTTCTTCTCTGTGCCCTGTAAGAGTTTCATCATGTTGCTTTATACACTAGCTGACCATGAGGGGAGACCTTTAAATCTCTAGTTCCAGAAGTGTGGGTTGTGGGTTGGTACTGGATTTGAAACAAAACCTCTGTTAAATGTTGCAGGGTTTATTCCTGGCTACTGCTAGTTTTGAGTTCATGAGGTTAGGGGAGTAAACAGACTCCAGCTAGTTCACTCCAGCTACTTTTTAACAGGCACTTTTTATGTAACTATAAAGAAGGAAAATATTTTAATCACTTATTTATTGAACTTTCATTGTTGTTCTAATTTGTCATCTCAAAGCCTCATTAAAGTTCTGTGAGCTACAGAAAGCTTGTCAGGAAATAAGTCACGACTGCTCAACTGTGGCTACCTGTGATTCTGTAGTGTGCAACAGAGTCAGTTTTACACATGCAGGTTAATTGTGGAAGTGCAGCAATTAGGAAACAAGCAGCAGAGCAGCCAGCACAAAGCTGTAGAAAGGATTTGATTTGGAAAAATTAATACTGTAGAAGTGAACAGAATTATGACATCTGAAGCCCTTAATCAAAAAAATAGAGTCCTGAGGAGCAAAGTAAATTTTAGGCATTTTGTATGAGCTCTAAAGACAGCATTTAGTCTGTTAAAATAGACCATGGAGTCAGGGCTGGAGGCAGCCCCTGAGCATGGAGAAAGTTTTCTTTCTTTTGTTTTCCTTTGTTCACTTTTTTCTTGTCCTCTTTCACTCTTCCAAGCCAAATAAGTCTTATTCCTTTAGTATTTCCTTATAGGCTGGTATCTGAATTTCTCCCCTCTGAACAAATAAATGATCAATACAAAACAAAAAACAAATGTATATTCTAACAAAGTTTTGAGACAAAGTTTCTGCTAGACCGTATTTACTGGCCTAGTCTTCTCGAGGCCCAGACTTTCACACCAGTCTCCTTTGGTTCAGTATATGAAAACTTGAGGTGAATAAGTCAATAAACACTTGCTGTCAGTGCTAGTATGACATGTTGTTATAATATAACCCAGACCTGTATACAATTGATGCTGTTCAATTTAGCTTTTTGGATCTTTTATCCTTAGCAGTCTTTTTTCAAAGAACATTTCATAGTTATTCCCTGTTCCATCCTCTCCCAGTTCTTAAGTTCCTGAAGTGACTTGTGGCTGCTGCCTTCTTTCAGGTGGTGTTTCTCTGAACCCAGAGGCTTTTGGCATCTTTACAAAGCTGGCTTGTAATACAAAGTCCTGTCAAATTTCAAGTGATTCAAGCTTTCTTCCCTGCTGTAGAGAGAGCACCAGTCATGTTTGTGTCTGTGTTTTGAGGCTATTGATCCACAGGAGTTTTCATGTTTGTGCTCACTGCTTGAAGTTTGAAACACTGTTTGTTTTTCCAACTCACTTCTAACTGATTGAACGGGACTTTTCTGTTATTTTAATATTAAATAGAGCTGTGACAAGTGTATCCTTTTCTGAGCCGAGGTTTGATCAGGAGAATGTAGGTAGATAATGACATCTCATTAACTCCACTGTTCTGCTGCTTTCCGTGGCTTTTTTTCTGAGTAAAGGGTACAATTCCTTTCTGGCACACATTCTTTGAAAGAAGACCTTTTGGGGGGTAATACAGATTTCTTAATAGATAATTTGCTTGTGCCAAACCTCCAAGAACATTGAAGGGTGAAGAGCAGGAGTTTCTGGGATGGCAACCTGCCTTTATTTCCAGCACTCCTCACAATGCTGTCTGGGTGGGCAAGAGACTGATGCTTTTTTGAGAGACCAAGATTGGCTTTTGTGGCAACAACTACTTTCCTGCTTACAGAGTTTGACAGATGAGAGAGGTTATAGAATCATGTGCTTAAGCCATATGCTGTGATTTATTTGATAGGCTTATTATTAATAGTAAAATTGCTAAAAATTGTTAAACCCCTCATCTCTGGTGAATTTGGCAGCAATGAAACAAGAATGGCACACTGCATGGATAGTGTAAAATATTCTAATGTTGTTTGCTGAGGGAAAGAAAAAAAGCAAAGCAAATAAACCCAATGATTTCATCTTATGGTTGTTTTACAGCAAGACCACTGGTACAAACGCTGCCTTTAAGGACTACAGTTAATAATGGAACTGTGTTACCAAAGAAACCAAGTGGCTCTTTACCTTCCCCATCAGGAACCAGAAAGGATACTGTACCTCCAGCAGCAAAAAGGTAGGCATGTATGAGAAACTTTTTAATCACAGAACTGAAAACACAGCATAGCTCCTCTTTTAACCTCCTGGATATGTAGTTTTTCTTACTTGCAAACCAGCACTCTAAATATTTAGTTCAGAAAGAAAAGGAGATGGATTTCATGCTAAGAGGCTTTAAATTTCTTCATTCTGATTGGAATTAAAGTTATTACCATGATTATTGAAGGAATGAACAATGCTTACTGGTTTGTGTTGTTTTGTTGCTGTTAGAGTCTAGCAGATAGAGAACAAAGCATTTCTACTGTGCTGGTGCCCAACATGATGTTAAAAGTAGTGCTAGAATGATTTTCATAGCTAGTAGAAAACACACAGTCTGTAGAGAAACTGTGCTACCATTACAAATCAGTGTGTTACCTTTGGTGGTTTTCTCTCCCTGAAAAATTATCATAGAAAGTGCTGTGCAGTGTTAGAAGCATCTCAGAGACGAGGAGGAAAATTCTATGCCTAGCACATATTTATGCAAATGGAAACATCCATCTTTGGGTATCTTACCATTAGCATGTATTTAAGTCCTTTTAATAATTGCTGCTCTATCTCAGTTTGCTTTGTGTCTGGTTGTTTTTAACTAGGCTAAATGTTTTATACATCTAGGTTATAAGGAATGGAATGGATTGGGTGCAGCAAGTTCAAGTTACATGTGGTAGCTATTGTGGTGCTAATCTGCTGTGTGGTTTGGCTGTAAAAGATAATAGTGTGGGGTTTTGGTTTTTTTCACTTAACATTTCTTCTGTGTGTCATCCTCAGCTTTTTGTAGTGATGATGCTGCCAGCTCTGAGGAGGACAAAGTTGTAGAGATGAGAGCATTAACCTGCTAAGATCTGAGGTCTCTTTGTAAAGAGAATTTTTCCTTAAAGGGGAGATGGTGACTAAGTATATGCCACTCTTTGTCACTGTGTTGAAGGAGGCTGATTGGCAGGCAACTCCAGGTCTTCTTGTTGTGGAGAAGAGAGAAGCTCTGCTGTGCACAATTAAAATTGGAAAATACTGTATTTGTTTGTGTCACAGAAATGAACTCCTGTGAGCTCTTATGAACTGGAGCTCACTGCAGCTGGAAGCTTTGGCAGGTTGGCTTGGATCAGCCCTTAAGATAAGGAAAGCAAATGCTGTATAAAATGTTCCATTGTCAGAAGTTTGAAAATGGGTGAAAGAACTTGCCCTTTATATAAGAAAATTTATTAGTGTTTGAAAAGCAGCAGTTTGTATATGCTGATTTTGTAAAGACATATGTCTTTAAAACACATAAAAAGATATTTTTACTTAATGTTTCTTGTAGTTTCATTCTCGCTAATAAAGTTTCAAGTAGTAATTATGAAACACATGAGAGCACAAGCATTGACAGACTTCACCTGTGTGCACAGGGTGTGATTCCTGGAGGTCTGTGCTCTGTGTCCAAGGGTCAGTGTCAGACTTTCTGCCCCAGGGTAGGGAGGATGAAGTGCAGGTCAGGATCAAATTTGTGCTTTCTCTGTTCTGGGAGTCCTTTATGTAATTCAGCTGGTCCATCTGGTATTGCCTGCAGCCCCTAGGCATTATCCTAGCTTAGGATCCCTGTGGACAAGTGACACCCTGCAGCCCTTTCCCCTGACCCATGTCCAGTCTGGGTACCCAGAGTGCCAGGGGTAAAGTTCTTAGGGAGCATTTTTAGACTGTCTTGGTTCCTGTAAGAGAAATTCTTCCACAGGTGAAGTATTTAATGTCCTTCTATTATGCTTTGTCCCTTCTCTTTGCTGAAGAAGCTAGACTGAAGGTGCTTTAAACAGGCAGCATGAAAATGTATATTCAGTTTTGGAAAGGAAAAAATACACTCGGGCAGTTGTGCTGAAATAGGTAGATATTTATTAGGAGTACTTAGGTGAGCAGGATTACTCCAAGGCCTGAAAAAAGCTGTTGGAAATTCGGGTGCTGTGGAATTACTGTTCCCTTCAAATGCTCTAAAATTCTGTATTGATTGTCTTTAATATGCAAATGTTGTTCTTTAATGTTGCTTTTATTAAATTAAAGCATATTTCTGTGCCCTGTCTATAAACATATTTCAAGAGGAAGAGTGTGGAATGGTAAGGATCTCACCAATGAATTACTGTACAAAATTTTTCTTGGGTCAGTTATTCTCTAGGCATTTGAAAATAACCTTAAAATAACTGATGAGATTTCATGGTTTTATAGTAAATGGTGCTCCAAATATTCGGTGTTCAAAGATGATATAGTAAATGTTCCAAATAGCTTGTAAATAGTCAAGTAGACTAATTCATTATTCATCCATTAAGATGAATTAATTCACACTTTGTATTTATCTTGGACCCTTTTATCTTCAGGAACTGTAGGTGTTTATGCATAAAACAGTAATAGAAATACATCAGCAATATAAATAGCTTCCTTTTTCAAGGGGTAGGACTTGTCTGTTTGTGTTAGAAGTCTCAGTGTTGCACAGTTTATAGATGTTGTGTCAATTTGCATGATTTTCTTAGTTCTGGTTTCTGCTAAGCAGTGCTCTTTCCTCCCAAACTGATTCCAGAGCTAGAGGTAATTTCTCACATAGATATTCTTCAGTCCAAAATCTGATCATGTGGCACAGCAGTTCTAAATAGCATTAAGTGTTTACAGATGTTTTAAGACTTAGTTGCTGCTCTGATGCTTTTAATAGTTTTCCTGTGCGACATAGATACAGAATTGAAAATTTTGCAATTCTTCAAAATGTGAAAAGAAGGGGCAATTTGAAAAGTGAAAGAAAAGTTAAAAACCACAGTAAGAAAGGAAAACAAATTATCTGTTGCTGAGTCATCTTCTAAACTTTTGTTATGTTGAGGGAATGACAAATGTCTGCTAGGATAGTAGAAAATATCTTCCATTTTTTTCTTACCTGTGACCATTTTTTCAAGAGAAGATCCAGGTGAATGATCCTTCCCAAACATTTTTCTGCACTGCCGTATGAAAAGTGGTGTTACAATCAAACAGTTTCTGATTCTTCTGCTCTGTTCTTCTTTCACCATTTCGATCAGGAGTGTGTGGTGTCCAATTGAAATGACATCAGTCTGTTCCTTGAAACAGCATGTCGTGCATTACTTATGTAAATACATGCAAATAGTCTGCATGGGGACTAAGTGTGCTTCCATACATTCCACTGCCCAGAAACAGATGTATTTACTGGTATGTCTGCAGACACAATCTCATTTCATACAACAGCCCTATTTAAATGTGTTGGTTAACTCATTTGAACCCACAGGTTGGTATGTGGCTTATGTGCCTTGCTGGATTGCCAGGGAGATGTGGTTCAGAGTTCACTACATTTTCTGATTTCCCATTTAATATTTGAAATGGAAATTACTTCTTCTGGCAGGAATATAAAATCGGAGGTAATAAAAAAGGCTCAAGGCTGAAAGGGTGGAACCAGCAGGCTTTTATTTGAGTTCTGCCACATATTCTCTCAATGACCTTATGCAAATGGTTTAACCTCTATGCATATTGCTTTTCCATATGTAAAACTTGTATCCTGGCTATCAGTAGGTTGTTATAGGGCCTAATGTGATAATTAGATCCAGATCTTGCAAAGCGTTGAGTAACCTCAACTGACTCTGACTTCAGTTAGAACCGAGGGCACCAAACCCCCTTCAGCATTCAGATCTCACACGGTCAATACCCAATTATCCAAGTTAAGGAAGGAATGAAATAACCTGAATAAAGCCAAAGCACAAATCCAAACCACAGATCAGTCAGGTTCTAGAAGTGTGCCGTGGCAATGAGGTGTGAGATGGAAAGGCTGGTGATGCTCAGGTGCTGGGAGCCTTGTGAACACAGCTGGTGGCTCTGGGGCCAAGCCAGCTCACAAAGAGCTGAAGTGATTTTGAGATGGGCTGAACAATTACCTGACACAGACAGACAATCAAGAACTGCCTGGCTTTGTGAAGTGTTTCCACGTTGTCTTCACAAGAAGCCTTTGATCGCAGGACTCAGCTTTAATTTTAATATGTTTGCTGATTTTACAACATTGAAGTCTATAAGCTCTTTTGAGAACCAGCTTTGTGAACGCTGCCACAGTTTTATTCTGAACTTCGTACTTAGAATAATGATCTGAAATTTTCATTCTGAAAAAGATAAGTTCAGCATATCACGAGCAGAACTTTCCCTTCCCCCTGCACTCTTCCTTTTGCTTGTAACGTGGCTTGAAGTTTGCTGCTTAACACTAAATTTGGCTCTGGAATTTGGCCAGCACATAGTAGTAGTGTTTTGTGTTCCCTATTAAAATCTAGGGGTTTTGTGACTCATCTGGGATAGCTTTGTTTCCAAGAGTTGAGGGGGAAAGAGAAAAAAAAAGAGATGTAAGGGAAGAGAATGCAGACAGTACCTTTCCCAGTAGGGATGCTGCTGCAGGCTGCAGGCTAGCACATACTTTGCCTTTCAAAGGGAGACAATCAGTCATTCTTTCTCCCCCAGCAGATTGCAAAGTATTACAATGGTGCAAAACTCTGACAATGGAGATCAAAAGGAAGAAGCAGGAACAAAGGCAACATAAAGGGCTTTGTTTGTAGGGAGAATAAAATACTTTAATATGATAAATTCCTGTTCTTCTAAACTCTAAACACATGGCCCCTAGGAAATCGTGCAGTCGCCTGGAATTAATGTTCTGGGTTCTGTTCTGGGGGCAGTGATGGTCTGTAACTGGCACACACACAGACTCTGTATCAGCCTGCAGTTAAGTGTTCTAGTTAACACTTGACTTTCAAAGAAAATGCTTTAAAATAATCAAAATATAGATGAAAAAAGAAAATTTCTCTATTGAACTTGGGACAGCAAAACTTCTGTCACTTCACTATCTCTGTAACAATTGAAGTTATTAGTGCGTTTTGCTCAAAGGCAGAATGAAATTAAAGTCCTGTGTTATTCCTGAATTTATGCTAATTGATTTAAATGAGGGTCAGAATGAGTGCTAGACAAAATATTAATGCCATCAGTTACTGTCTAAGAGCTTTGTGTGCTATTTTTTAATTTCATTTATTAAAAAGCTTTTCTGTTCTCCCAAATAATTTTGGTGATGAAGTAGGTACCCTTTTAATTTTGGCCAGATTAGCTCACCTCAATTCAGTAATGCAACCACCTGAAACATTCATGCTATGCGGTGGTATATCTATGTATCTATGAGGTTTTATTTTCTTGTCTTTACTGTTGCTTTTTTAATAGTCTTTGTCTTTTAGCTGGATCATCTGTCCCGTTCCTTCCGAGAGCCTCTTTGGTTTTCCTTTTATTTCGTGTTCGAGTCGCTTTCCAAATGGTCAATCTGTTGGGGCACTGCTGAGATTTTGTCATTCAAAGATACATTGGTGTTCTTAAATGTATGGTTTGAACTGATCAAATATCTGACTGAGCCAATAAGCACTGTGTTGTTTACTCCTGCACGTGGCTTCATATCTTGAAAGCATGCAATTGTGTCTCTTAACGTAAGTCTTGTAAATGTCTTGTTTCCACATGTTATCGTTGCATTCACTTTTTATTCTGCTTTGTTTACGCATCTCTCAATCTGGATTAAGCAGGTCTGTGAATCTTCTCAATGCATGCAAACTGAAAAAGCCTGCTCTAAGGTGAGGGATCCTTCATGGCTTTGTAGTGTTCAAGTTCAGTTGTTTTTTCCTTTCCATTTCGGTTCGACACGTAGAAAGTGTTTTAGTACAAGCATTAACATGGTAGAACTGTAATAATGATTATTGCCGTTTTTAACATTTTCAGAAGTTCATGTTTAAAACTTTCTCATTGTTGATAAATGCATTGCAAAACTTAGAATAATTTCAGTGATGGTGTTCTGCATTATATCATCCTAACATGGTTTTTATTATGGGGCATTAGGCCACTTTGCTGTCTTAACCAAGTTAAAAATTGTGTCACTAAATGTTTTTAATATCACTAATGTGGAAGTCAAATTCCAGAGTCCAGTTATACTCTTACCAACCTGTAAGTTAAATGAACATTTTCTGTCATTTTACGTTCCTCCTCAGGTGGAACTGCAGCCGTGGATAGAATCACTGATGTCTCACTGTAGCTACCAAAACGTGTATATGCCAAACCTGAGTTAATGTAATGGAGTTATAATCCTCTTTTCCACCCACCTGCTAATACTTCTCACTGGGCTGTTGTTGCTGTTGTTGTTGTTGTTGAGAGTTTAAAATAAAATTTGTCAGAAGATAGCATTGCTAATTAGTCTAAGCAGTAATGGACGTAAGCCAAAGGAGATGTTTAAAAGAATTTTGTGCTTGTGGTGAAAGTCATTTTTATACTGATATGAGACCTCATTATTCAGAAAGAAGATAGAGTTACACTTTTAAGTTTTAGTCCCACCCTTTCATTCTTTTTATCCGCTAGTTCATCTTTTGAATGTTGATAGCTATAAAAATAAAACCCCAAGCAACTTTAAAATGAGTTTCAAATTGCTTCTGCAATGTACATTTTTTCTGAGATTAGTATAATTTGATAATTTCCTTCATTTAATTTCAGTGTAGGCTGATGTTGACACCTTCCTTCACAAGGAAAAGATGCCAAAATAAAGGTTTGATCCTGCACAATCACACTGAGAGGATGTTTCTGCAATTACTCTATACAATAGTGGAAGGACTTTTGCTAATGGAACTATTTTGTGTGGAAATAAACATTTTCAGTGTCAAGGCTTTATTTTTTAACTGGGGTAGTATTCAACTGGATGATGTTGAGATGCAGTTAAACGGTAACAGCATATTCTTTCATTTACTAGAGAAGGTTTTTTCCATGCATTCGACAGTGAAATGACTTGGATAATGTTAGACTAGCATAGGAGACACATTTCTGAAATGAAGACAGGCTTCAATTCTTGTTGCTGCCTTTTCCCTTCTCCTATGAATGTGTTTTGCTCTGTGCCTATATGTAATTTTGCATTCTGCTTGCTCTCTTCCATCGCTTTCTCCACAGAAACACTGTTTTTTTAATTTCAGCTTAATCATTTGAAGCTTGTTTTTATTACAAGAATGCAGCGCTGAACATCTGTCCTCCCATCGCATGTTCCAGAAGGTTTTTCGTCAAGCTACCTGAGATGCATCTTAACATGCATCTGCTCTGCAGAGCTGCCCCTCAGTGGGGGCTCCCTTCCTTCCAGAAGGGTGGTTGCTTGGCAGAAAGACTCCAGTTTGGGTGTTCCCATCATTTCTGTTACTGAGCCTCAGCTGAGGTGTTGAAATATTTCCTCCTTATTGGTAAAAAGACATGAGGGAGCAGGAATAGATTTTAAAAAAACCTCCAAAGTGTATCAGCAGTTGTACAGTGTATCAGTACAGTTGATAAGCTGAGCATCTTTTGAGCAGACAGAAAAGTGTATCTTGTTTCCTTTAGTTATGAAGAGCCAACTTTAGACCACACATGAAGTGAGACAGAGCCAGAGGAGCTGGCTGAGGTCACAGGATATGGGTAGTTGTTAGGGACTGGTGGGAAGGTTTGGAGTAGTCCTCAAGGGTGAGTTGAGCATTTTGATAAGCAGAGCATCCCTGGGGGTGTACAGAGGTCAAGGAGGAGGTGGCTGAGGAACAAAAGTTATTACTAGGATGACACTGGGCCTTGGAGGAGCCAGAACAGAAAGAACTGATGTTTTCATAGAGAGATAGAACTCATGATTGGGATTTTGGTAGAGACATAGGAGCTTGAAAGCAGTCATTGGTGTCCATGGCTTGTAGGGTGAGAGAGCTGCTGAAGGTGGTTATTTAGTATGGGGATGTTTTGTGTAAAGGAAACGTTTTCATTCAGCTTTTTGAAGGGGAGAAAACAGCGCAGGACTGGAGTGGGGTGAAATGAGACATTGACACCAAGTCCTGTTGTTCAGCTGCTGCCATGGTGCTCATTCCTGCCTCAGTCCAAGTAATGCTGCCTGAGCCTGTCTGCTGCCCAAGGCAGTGCAGCAAAGTCAGAAGCATTGCCCTCACTGGGGCCTCACCCTTAGCTGCTGCCTCTCCTGCTAGGAAGTGCTGCATTAGGGAGCAGTGCTTTGGACTAACGAATAACCACACTAATTTGTCTCCTATTAGGTGTAAGCTCTGAGTGAGCTTCTCTTAATTTATTAAGTAACACTGCTTGTGTTCTGACTCACATTTTTCCATCAGAGAGAGCTGGATGGCTAAGGGGTGCCACAAAGTCACACAAGAGCTCCCTGATAGCTGTCTTGGCAGGAGGGATGGTAAGGTGAGCTTTAAGCCTTTGAGAAACCCCTTGTCAGGAGATGTGGGGAATCTAATCTATTCATACAGGTAAATAGAGAGCATACGTTTTTGACAAGATAAAAAAAAAGTGCAGCCTAGCTTACCATTAACTGCAGTTTGGAGTATGTTAAAACTAGCTTTGAACCACAGAATAATTGATAATGAAGACCCAAAGTTAGGTTGCTCGTGCTCAAATTTTTACCCACTTTTGGCATTCTTTGTAGTCTGACTGGAAGTGTCAGGTTTTCTCTTCTAATCTTTCACTTCTTATCAAGACAATCCAAAAATTCAGAAGTGTGGCGTGGTAGTCAGAGATCTGAAACATGACCCAGAAAACAGAGATTGCAACTTACTCCATGAAATTGGTCCAGCCCATCTTCTGTTTTATGACTAAGGAAAAAGCAGTATGTTTGTCCCATCAGGTACTCAGCAAAACTCTTCTGTAGGCTCTAACAAACCAAGTTACAGTTAGAAACAAAGTTGTAGTTATTTTTTAGGGTCAACTTTCTGCTTGATACTTTTCTCAACAACACTTATCGTAGACATATGTACTTTTACAAGTGCCACTGTCAAACCTGCTCCTTTTTTTATTAGCACCATTAAGAGAACCAGTTCATCTGAGCGTGTGTCCCCAGGAGGTCGGAGGGAAAGCTATGGAGATTCCAAAGGGAGTCGCAACCGCACTGGTTCCACCAGCAGTTCATCTAGTGGTAAAAAGAACAGTGAAAGGTAATGTTACCTAAATGTCTCTCTCCCTTCTCTGCCTACTAGTTTCTTTAGTGAGCTTAGTATCTCTTGTTTAACAAATATTGGGAGCTTTCTTTTTCTTTGCAAAGCTCCAACAGTTGGACAAAATTTCAAATAAAACATTAAATTTAATTAGATGAAATTTATTCGCCTTATTTCCAAACCAGAAACAGTGTGAGAACCTAGAGTTTCCCAGGGAAGCTCATCATTATTAAGCACGACTTTTCCAGTGTCTTAGCAGTTTCCCTTGGTCTTCATATTCCTAGTCTGTACTTCTTCAGTCTCCTGATTGTGGTGCATTGACCCATGCTGGCAGCTAAGTCACTCCCACTCCTCCAGTGGGATGAGGGAAGAGAACAGGAAGAACAAAAGTTAGAAAGTCAAGATAAAGGTAGTTTAAAAAGTGAAGGAAAGAGGAAATACAAACAAAACAAGTGCTAGAAAGCAATCACCATGTCCCACGTGTAGATTGATGCTCAGCCTGTCTCTGGTCCATGACTGCCTTGGTCTGATTAAAGATAAATCAAGGGAGAGGCTTACAATTCAAGTGCTGTCCAAAGCAGTGGAATAAATTGATGCCTAACTCTGTGTATCTCTGGTGATGCTTCTCTGTAGTGCTGACAGCGCAAAGAAAAGAGAATGTCTTGTCCAAGGGGTTCAGACTTAGGATGGCCTTGAACAAATAGCTGTTTCATTGAGGTTTGTCAGGATTGTCAGTGTAGGTCAAATGGTTCTTTCCTGTATTTCCTAGACAGATTTTAGTCTTGACCATTTTGCTCAACATATTCTGTTGCAGTTTCCTGTGCAAGAAGTGGTGTTGATATTACTGTTTCACTGTCTCACAAATTATGTGACCATAAAAGCACATTGTTAATGGCGATCACATAATAACCTCATTTATCTGCTCTGTCTGGGCATCAGTGTCATTACAGGAGTCATTGGGCTGCTCATGAGCTGATGGTGTGGCACAAAACATCCTTTCCATTTCATCCCTTCAGCCTCTTTGTTTGATGTAAGGAGTGACTGAGCTAGTTGTGTACTAATTGACAGCCTAAAGATGGGTGGTTACATTATTGATAGCTTGTTATCTGGCTTATGTTTTCAGCTATGAAGCAAGACAGCAAGTGTGCAAACTTTAGGAAATTTATACTAACTAATGGATTAGGATAAAAGGGCAGACTAGTAAGGGTGACACACTGTGGGTGTTTGCTACAGGTTGCCTGAGTAGGATGAGGAAATGTATGGGGCCTTATACAGGCAGCTTGAAGCAGCATCAAAATCACAGGCACTGGTTCCTGTGGGGGACTGTGACTACCCTGACATCTGCTAGAGAAGCAACACAACATAGTGCAAACAGTCCAGAATGTTCCTAGAAAGCATTGATGACAGCTTCCTGTCACACCTTCCCACAAGGAATGGTGTGCTGCTTGACATTATGCTAACAAACAGGGAAGGACTTGTTGGAGATGTGAAGTTTTGGGGTCAGCCTTGGCTGGAATGGCCATGCGGTGGAGTTCAGTACTGGGAGATGAGGAAGCCATGGACTTCAGAAGAGCTAATTTTAGCCTCTTCAGGGATCATCTTGGAAGAATGACTTGGGAACAGTCATGGAAGAGTGGTCCAAGAGAGTTGGTTGATATTCAAGTATCACTTTCTCTGGGCTCAAGAATGGTGCATCCCAATGAGCAGGAAATCAGGCAAGAGACCTGTGTGAATGAATAAAGAAGGAACTGAGAGTCCTGGTGGACAGCAAACTGCCCATGAACCAGCTTGCCCCTGTGGCCAAGAAGGCCAGTAGTATCCTGGGGTGCATTAGGAAGAGCATTGCCAACAGGTCGAGGGAGGTGATCCTGTCCTCTACTCAGCTCTAGTGAGGGTGCACCTGGAGTGCTGTGTCCAGTTCTGGGCTCCACAGGAGGCACACGGAGCTCCTGGAGCAGGTCCAGTGAGGGCCACAGAGATGATTAAGGGACTGGAACATCGCTCTTATGAGGAAAGGCTGAGGGAGTTGGACCTGTTCAGCCTCAAGAAGAGACAGCTGAGAGGGAGCTCATCAATCTATTTAAGTATCTGAAGGAGGGAAGCCAAGAGGATGGAGCCAGGCTCTTCTCAGTGGTGCTGAGCAATAGGACAGGAGGTAATGGGCAGAAACTGATGCACAGGAAGTTCCACCTGAACATGAGGAAGAACTTCCTTCCTGTGGAGTCACTGAGCACTGAACAGATTGCCCAGAGAGGGTGTGGAGTCTCCGTCACTGGAGATAGCCAAGAACAATCTGGACACAATGCTGAGCCATGTGCTCTAGGATGAATCTGTATGAGCAGGGAGGTTGGACCAGATAACCATCTATGCTCCCTTCCAACCTCACATGTTCTGTGATTCTGTGAAAGGCTTAGCAAATTCTAGGAATAATGAGAAAATATAGAGCACCATCAGAGAAGGTTATAAAACTGTAACCAAGGAAGATGCAATATTTGCACAAACTAAAAATTTAGCCAGTCTAAAATCTTCTTGGCACTGTGCATCTATTCATGTAAATGAAGTTTTCATAAGCCAACAAAATTCCCCAGGACTGGGCCTCTGGTACTTAAGGAAATTTGACTTTGTCTCACCATGTATTTTTTTTCTTTATTCTTTTTTACAATAATTATAAGCAACAGATAAGCAAATAGATGTTGGTTTGATTTTGTTTATAATATTTGTATACTTCAAAATGTCTAAAAGGCTGAAATTCAAATTTAAAAAATTGCCACAGCAATCCGTAATACCTATAAATGGATACTGCTTTTGAGAGGAAGATCAGTCTTTTATAAGAGTACTTAGGACCCGTGGCCCTTTCTGCAGTGCAGACCTGGATGAAACTTTTTTCTAAACATTTCAGACCCTTCTAGCACAGAAAATGTGTATCTGTATACATCTGATAGGGTACTGCAGAATCAGCAAACCAAATATCAACACTTAGGGGCAAGTGAGCCTGAATGTTTTTCAAGACAAAACTAAGCAAAAAAAATTAGTGACCAGTGAATGGACTGCAAAGAAAAAAACAGTTTGCTCTTGATTTAAGCTGCAAATTCTGTCAAGTGTTGTAATAGTGTGTAACTACATGCAGCTGCTTTTCCTTGGTGAAGTCATTAACAAGGAGCTGCTGTTTTCTGTACTGATCTTTTGAAGTTGTTGGATTTTTTTTTCCTAAGGCTTTAATTTTTATTTTGCATCTATGAATAACTTCCTCTTCTGTCACACATATCAAATTATAGCAACAGCCCTTACATGGTGACATTGTTGATTTAAAAACCCCAATCTTCTACAAGCCAACCAAATTTCTTGTGGAAAGGTTTTGTTAACAAACTAAGCTTCCATAATTAGATGGATAAACTTGTTTCTGGAAGATGAACAGGAATATTCAGCTACCAGTGGTGAATCTCATTACTTTTCCAATTTGCTGCAGGAATTTACTGTAGTTTTTGGAAAAAGTTTTAGCAAACATCTGATGATCCTGCAGTGCCCTAGCTCTGTGTATTTTCTCTCATATAAAAAATTTCATTAGATCAAGTGCCCAGAAGGTAAATTCTCTGTGTGTTGTGCAGTGGAAGATCTGCCTGTCAAAATCTAAATACAATACAGTGCTTTGCAAAGTCAGTTTTATGAATATATCCCTGATCCTGCTACCTGCATAAGGTGATAATTGTCTGAAATTAGTCTGAAAATAGCTACTGAAGAAATAAGGGGAGAATATTAGGTTGTTCACTTAAGGACAGCTATGACTTCTAGCTACATAGATACACTGTACACTTGAAAATGGATTCCAGAATAGCTGAGAAATAAAAACATTGCCACAAAGCTAATGGTTCTCTGCAAGTATCCCAAGGAACTAATTGAAGGCACGTGGTAGATTGCCTTGGCCAGAGCTGGTGATGTTGGTGCCACTGTGAAAACAGTCATTGTATGGTTAGAGAGTTTTCTCTCATTTCTGTTCCATGCAGCCTGGGGCTGTCTCCAGCTCTCACCTCCTTGAAGAGTGTCCTTTCCCTATGGAAGAGGCTGGATAAAGACTTGCCTCATGCTTCCTCTTGAGGTTGGGCCACTATGCTAAATATAAAGCAGGAGTCATGGGACTAGAAGGGAAATGAGGATGATTCTATACACTGGGGGCTAAGACTGTTCTCTGAAAGCTAATTGTATGTGCAAAAGAGTGAGGAAGAGGGTGGACTTAACCAAGTCCAGAGGAGGCCATAAAGTTGATAAGACATCTGGAGGATCTCCCCTTTGAAGACAGGCTGAGGGAGTTGGGGCTGTTCAGCCTGGAAAAGAGAAGGTTGTGTGGAGACCTCATAATGACTTCCAGTATCTGAAGGGGCTACAGGGAAGCTGGAGAGGGAATCTTTGTTGGGAGCTGCAGTGATAGGACAAGGGGCAATGGGTACAAACTGAGAGAGGGGAAATTTACATTAGATATTATGAGGAAGTTTTTCCCTGGGAGGGTAATGAGACACTGGCACAGATTCCCTAGGAAGGCAGGGGATGCCCCAACCCTGGCAGTGTTCACAGCCAGGTTGGATGAGCCTTGAGCAACCTGCTCTGGTGGGAGGTGTCCCTGCCCAGGGCAGGGGTTGGGACTAGATGAGATCTAAAGTCTATTCCAACCCCTGAAATTCTGTGATTCTATGATCTACTCACAGTTTTATTATTTGTACCCTTGATCCCCTTGCATCTCTTCCAGTTTGAGATATCCTATGATTCTATTGTATGATTCTCAGAATGAAGATGATTCTTAGATGAAGGCTAAAGCAGAATGCATGGCAAGAATCTAAAAAGACAGCTATGACATTATTATTTTTAAAAGTATATAGAGTTGTAAGCTGTTATGCAAAACCAGAATGCTATAGAAAGCTCTTTTAAGAAGCTTTAAACATAAGGAGTAAGGAGATGACCATAATCTCTCCTGCTCCTATGAAGTGTCCCAACTTCCTGTAGCTGTGAGCCAGAGGTGAGATTTCCTGAGGGTTAGATAAGTAGGATGTGACTCAAGATCATGAAAAAGGGTAGCCAGAGCTCTGAGCTGTGTGTGGTTTGGGTTTGTATAATTAGAAGTACACATGATTTGCTTTATTGCTGTCATGAGTCAGCCTTTCACATTAGCTTGATTAGCTTGAATCAGTCAGCATGGTCTGTTCGGAGCTGGGGACTGCTTTGTCTCTAATATGGCAGCTTTTCTGACTAGTGCTCCATCCCATGAACTGTTTTGTTTTCTAAAAATATCTTCATTCATAGGAGAAAATGTTCATCTTAGTGTTCACAATGGCAACACATCGTGCCGCTTATGTCGATGACATTGGCTCTGTGTGCCAGCTCGAAGCATGGATTTTGATGCATGATTAATATGAAGGCTGAGATTATGGAAAGTTGCTAAATTGGGAATAGAGTTAGAATTGATTTGGTTTGATTAGGTTTTATTTATGTGTGTATATGTATAATACATTTGGTTAAATGTATTATTCTCAATATAACTGTCAAATCGAGGCAAAAGGAAAAATGCTGTAAAATTATTTGCTACAACTTCTGTTGAAGAGAGAGAGAATCTTTTATGCTTACAAAAAAAAAGCTGTGTGTGAAATTCCAGCCCAGTTTTGTTTCTTTTTCTGGTGTCTCCTTACCTGCCCACTGCATTCTAGGAATGGATGTGGAGATGGCATCAAGCTCTAGGGATATTTCATGCTTCAGCATTTCTCCATCAGAACGACAGGGCTTGCAACCCCTTTGGGATTACCATAAGAAACATACAGCAGTGATCTGATATTTTTAAAGTTTTATTGGATTCAAAAAAAAAGAAATTGGAAGAGAAACCAACCTTGATGACAGGGGCAAAGCACAAAGAAAGCAAATAACTGACATTTCTTGACAAGATTCTTTCCTTTTGGCCAGGGTACTACTATCCAGAGAATTCCTCAGCTGTTCTACCTCTTCCTTTTATGTATTTTCCCCTCTAGTTTTCCCAAATATTTTCTGTAGACAAAAAGACAAACCAATTTCTGGATGTCTTCCAGGCAGCAGTGCAGTGATAAAGAGAAGACATTTTACTCCTGGTTTTTTGTTTTTTTTTTTTACTTTCTGGGTTTTACCAAGTACTGTTATTCACCGAGAAATCATTGGGAAATTCCATGTTTGATATGAACTCTTTGGACAAGCAGGATTCAGACTTTGGTTTGCTCCTTAAATCCCGAGAGAACAAAGGCATGAAGTAAGCAAACACCCACACATACACTGATACAGTAGCTCCCCCTCCCCTTCCTCCACATACTCAGAGAGGTGTAGCAGCTACTAATGAGCAGTTGTTCTTCTGTAGCAGGACTAACTTCGCAGAAGATGAGAATTTGGTAGGTAGTAGAGGAAAATCTCTAATTTCGAGACTCCTAGGAGAATGGAATATAGAAGTTTTAACATCAAGGAGCCACAATGTTTACTGGTTTTAACAGTGCCTGCCCAGGGATTTAGCTCGTAAATAATGTCATTGAAAAAGTATTTTTATTTGTATGTGCACATGACATGTTTTATGTATTTCATACTCTGTTTTTAGTTTGATATTGATGTCAATACATTTGTATGTGCAGACTGGATGTGCATGTGTTTTAAACAGTGATTTGTTCATTATTTTCACAGCAAACCCAAGGAACCAATGTTCAGTGCAGGTAGGAACTTTTACCATTTTTAAGCAGTAACAACTGTGATAACATGTTAGGATTTTTTGTTTGGGTGTTCCCCCCCTTCCCCTCCTTCTGTGTATGCCTAGAAACTGGTATTGGGAATCTAAACAGGATATTTACAGGCTGCTGGTAACATATTTTTAAAAAGTTACTCAGTTTGCTCTGGTTTTTATTGGCCCAATAGGTGTATTTTACAGTTGGGATTCTTTGTATGAAGACAAGGACAAAAAATGCCATGTCTTCTTACATCACATGTGTCTTCCCTTTCCGAGCACTATTAAGATTTTTGTTAATTAAAGCAATGCCAAGCTCCAGCTATGATGCTGTCATGGTAATTTTGTCACAAAAGGGAACCCTCTACAACTGTTAGAATGCCACATCTGTCCCAAAGCCTTGGAATTATAATTTGTCAAATTACAAATCAAAAAGATGTTTTGTTACTACAGTTTTGGTAGTTTAGTTTGAAAAGTTCTTTAAATTTTTTCTTACTCATGTATTGTCCCTGCTAAAAGATTTTGAAAGTGAAATAGTAGGTGTGAATGAAAGCAGAGTTTGTCCTTGTCATTAGACAGTTACATCTGAAAAAAATCTCAATAAAAATACGAAGCTGAATAGTGTCATAACAGTTATTTTCGCTCTGAAAAACCAAGGGCAACTAAAATAAAGCTTTATTCTAACAAAATAAGGAAGGGAAATAAAACCCTGATGATTTATCAGATGTATCATATTATTTTTATGCATAGTTCTGTGACAGTAATCATACATTAAGCTGAACAAGTTGAAGATCTCTTTTTACTGCACCGATTGATCAGCATCCAACAAAGCTCTTAAGCCATGCTGCAAGGTTTAGTGTAACTGATTTTGGAGTCAATAATACATGAAACTAAGTAAGGACTGAAGTCTCCTGTGACAATATAATCACAGTTCATGTCCCTTTCATGAAAACTGTTGGCTTAGGAAAAGAAAACTTCTGATTTGCACAGGATATACTTTCCTTGCCTGATATTTCTCCTTTCCTTGCATCATGTAAACAAAGGTGTTTGGAATATTTTTTTTTCTCCTGACACTTTTCCCATAGGTAAAGATCTGTAATTAAACAGATGTGACACTACACAGGTGTCCTTCTCAGCTGGACAAAATTCCTCCTGAAATGAAGCATTTTTTCTAGGAAGGTTATATTTGCTGTTTTACTGAGTATGTCGTCGGTTAATGGAGCTTAAGGTAGTATTTTAGTGATAACCAGAGCCTCCCAGTGAGGAAAAGGGTTTAGATGGTAATTCTGTGTCAAGCCCCAGGTTAGCCTGCAGGAGAATAGGACTGGGCAGCCTGTAGAGCAGGTATTTAGTGAGTTTATTGTATTCAAACACATCTTTATCTAGCCCTTCTGTCTCTGTCTCTGTAATCACAAGGGAAGCGCCGTGTGACACACTGCAAAGGTAGGCTGCACTTCCAAAACCTCATAGCTCTCGAAGCAAAATGGTTCTGGTGGGATAAAAGCTCAGTGTATAAACAGCCGTTCCCTAACTTGCTTTCATTTTGCAATGTTCAAACTTTCCTAGTTCTTTTGAATGAAACAAAAACGTGATACCATTTATTGTACTGTCCAATGAATTATAACCCTCAGGTGGCCTTAAATCATAAGAATGGGTTATAATTGACACTCCTCTGGAAGAATTTGAATAAGAAAAAAAACCTGTTGAGAGAGCTATATGGCAACACGTGGATGTTCACTGTGTTTGAAATGGCATTCTGCACTTCTGCTGAAATTCATATAGAATCTGCCCCTTTGTTGGCTGTTCTGCTCTTAGCCTAACATGATCGTAGAAGCCTTGGTTTTTCCCTTGCTTTTTCTTACTGAGTAGACTGTAGATTTTTTCTGACTGTTGAATAAACAGACCTAGGCCTCCAACTAATTTCTCAGTGCTTTTTGCTCCGTGTCATAAAGCAGAGGTACAGTTGGTAAACATAGCGTATTGGTTCCTAAAGCTTTAGTTAAACTCTAGTGTAAATATGCACATTTTGGATGCATGTTTATGTCTGTGATATAATCACAGATTTATCTGCTTTTTAGAAATAGCTGTATCCTAACAGTTTTTCCACTAATCAGCCTCTTTCAGCTTTGCAATCGATGTAGAATTTCACAAAGCAAAAAATCGTTTGTTCTCAAGACAAAGTCTTTTAGAGTCTCTACCTCTGTGTATTCTTTGTACAAATTTATACCTGCAATCAATGGTTGGTCTCCTTTGCAGATCCTCCTGGCATTCACGTGCCTTCTTAGTTCCGTAACTGTTAACTTTTGCAACAACAGTTTCAAATTTACCAAACTGCAGATGTAAAAGATACATTTGTCTTAAAGTTTTCACTGTTGGTCTGTCTGTGTAGTTTAATCATTGTCTGTCTTTGCATCTGTATCTTCACATTTAGAGCTTTGCTGTCTTAAAAACTTAGTTAAGAAAAGTACAGAGAAAAGGATGGAGATTGATTATGTAGATAATATATTTGGAGCAGGAACAAAAGTGAGTAGAGATAGAATTAGTATTACCAAAAGTTAGAAATGGATACAGAGTATGAGTTCTGTGCCTGATGTAGCCTAAGTTATACTTAGGAGAGGGAGTCACACACACATTTTGAATGCATAAATTGTATATTTGGTATATTATACTGGGTATAGTTTACTATACTTGCTGGTGTCTACTTGCTACTTCCTAGCCTTGAGTGTTTGGGTCAAATACTTCCACTGTAGATGGCTAAATGCAAGTTTTATGACTCCCTTAAGCCTCAGGTGAGAAAAGCATCCTAGTGAGTTACACTTCCCTTCATTCACAGCCTTTGATAAGTACAGTCAGTAGCTGTTACTGCTGAAAAATCTATTGACTTCCAGTGTACCAGCATCAGCAGTATTGGCATGTTTTGAGCTCATGAAATAGGTGCTGCATGCGCATGCAAATAGTGCTGTCATGCTTTGCTGTTTAATGCTCTACCCTTGATTTTATTTTCCAATACAGATCTATTGGAGTAGATTTTAAAAAGCCATTCCAGTATCCTATCATTTTCACAGGCATCTTGAACCTCCAACCTTCTGTCCCCATTTTTTCACCATTATTATCACCACTTCTTTTTAGCATTAAGTTTTCTGTTGTTTCCATTTTACGTATGAGTTCTGCAGGTGAAGCTAGAGAGACCTAGCTGTAAATTGACTGTGACAGGTAGATCTCTTTCCCATGTGAGTTAGTCCAAAGGCAAAATACACATCTATTTAGGTAAGACAGCATAGCTATGATGTTTACTTGTTCAACCAATACGTTTTATTAACCTAATCAGGATTTGTAGCATATGCATATTTTTCCAATTAAAATAAAGCCTTAGCCTTCAAATTAAAAAGACAAACTGTATAGTTGTAATGATACTTAACAATTCATAGCATAATTTTAACAGTCCTAAATTGTGTCATTTTTTTTCATTTACATGATTTTTGTTACTTTTGCCCTTCCATTTCCTCTGTGCCCACGGTTATTCTGTCTAGTAACTCTACAGATGTCACTGACTCCAAAACTGCTTGATTCGCATGCGAACAAGGCTGAACCCCTTGATCTGCCGATGAAGCAGCAAGAGCCAGCACGTTCTGAATCTGGACAAACTTCATCAGAAGTTCACAGGAGACCCACTTTGGCCTTGCCAGTTCCCAAAAGTCCTAGTCAGACCTTCATGGCATTTCCCAGATCTCCTAGTTTTATAAGCCCCATGAAGTCCCCAAGTCAGTACTTCCAGATCTGTTATTAATCTCTGCTTCTCTCCCCCCAAAATAATCTCTTACCAGTTCGACACATTACTTTTAGTATTTTCTTCTAGAAATGTTTACTTCTGTCAGCCAATTGAGTTTTTTGTAGCTTCTCTCCTGTATGTCATTTTCCTTTCTTTGAATGTGCTATCGATGTTGTCATTCCTTTTTCAATGTTTAGTAATTCTTAAAGCACATCTTTTCTGCATGTACATCAGCATGATTCCCTTTACTAATTGTTTGTGTTCCATATCTCGAATGTATCTCTTAACACTGTACTGAGTGTAAAGCATAACTTTACACTGAGATGCACAGAATGCGACTGAGTGTTGGAAAAGAATTTAGATGCTGATGCTCAACTGTAAACACTGATTTAAAAAAAAATAAACTTAATTTTAAGAGGCATTTCTGCGTTAATTGTAATCTTTGATGTATTTCCCCTTCGTTTTTTAAGACTTAAAAACCATAATATTTTAACATTATTTTTCCCGAAAAGAAGTTTCAATTTCAGACCTTTCCATTTCATAGTTCTTCATGACATTGTTTAGTTCTAATTCTGCTACTCAGAATATTTAGAGGAAAAAGGGACTTTGTATGTTTTTTAAAAAAAATCTGCTTAGTGATTATGATTCAGGAAAAAAACCCAAACCTGCTAAATTTCTAAGTTTGAGATTGCATGTCATTCTGTAATTGTAACACACCAAACTGTTATGTGGGAAGGGATGGAGGAGCACTGGAATTCTCCCCTGATGGTGTTTTTTTGTGTAACATTAAACATTTCTGACCTTTTGTAGAGGAAGGATACGTAAAAATGTTTCTTCGTGGACGTCCTGTTACCATGTACATGCCCAAAGAGCAAGTGGAATCTTACAATTTGGAAGCAAAAGTAGAACTACCAGCCAAGAGGCTTAAACTGGAATGGGTGTATCCTTTCTGTGCTGGAGGACTACTGGAAATCAATCATTCCTCAACGATCTGGGTTAAATAACTTTGGGAGCTGAACTGTAGCAGAATTAAGGTCTTAGGGTTACTTGGCCAAGTGACATTCCATTGGAAACAGGTGTTAACTTCTCCAAGCTGCTGTTCTTCACCTTGTGAAGTACAGGTTGGCAGCACAAGGAAGACTTTGCTTAAATGTTGCCTGAAGGTTAAGTCTGAAACATCCTAATTAGCCAAAGATTAAACTAGGCATATCATAAGAATGTAGTGAGCTGTGATTATTAATTATAATATGCATGAAACAAGCTCATCATTTTTCTGATTCTCAGCAGTAATTTATCATTTTAAACTGTTTTATAATGTGTGCTTAAGAGGATGCTACATTCAACTTCAGTGCTTGAATCAGCCCTGAAACTGAGTTCTGCTTTGCAACTGAGAGGTGCTTAGCAATGAAATTCATAAAGTAGCATATACAAAGTAATATTTACATTTTGAACTGTGTTTAAACACCATAAATATCCAACAACCTGAATCTTCTACTGTAAATATCTAACAGCCAGAATCTTCCACCATAAGTATCCAACAACCAGAATCTTCCACTGACTTTTCTGAGTGGACATAATTACAGAGTTCTGACTTGAAAGAAATCAGTGTATCAGTATATACAGAAATTTTCCCATTTCACTTGTAAGTATAATGATTAAATATATTCTTTATTGGATAAAAAAGACATTTCATTTTTGTATAATCTTAGTATATATAACAGATGACTCAAGATAAAATATAGACACAACAAGATCTGAGTCTGTTTGTAATATCCACTATCTTTAGAGAGATGAAGTCTTCATAAGGTTTTCTCTTTTAAGAAAAAAATCTGGGTTTTGGTCCCAAACAGTGCAAATAGGAAGTTGCTTTGTCTTCATAAAAAGAAGAAGACAGGCTGCATATAGCCTTTTTCAAAGTTGTATAAATAGAACTGCATGTGGTTTCAGAATGTTCAGAGAGTTTCCAAAAGTCCCTTTGTATTCACAAGAGATTAATGACAGATTTAGTAACCATTCTTATTATTCCTATTGCAGCTGAGCCTGTAGGTTCTATCCCACTCTGCTGGAACTGCATAGATAATGCGTACACAAATAACTGGAGATGAGTTAAAAAGACAACAAAAATCCACAAAATTAATAAACCAGCTGAGATGAGAGTGATAAATGCTGCTTGCAGCGTTTTGCCATCTCATTGCTGTACAGGCTCTCACCATATATCACAACAGAATTGAGTGATGTCTTTAATTTACAGATGCAAAGAGCTTCAGGGGCTGAAGGATGATACAGGGGGAAGTGTTGTGATGCTTGCTGAAACCATAAAAAAACCAACCACCAAACAAAACAGATTGTCATTAGCAATGTGTAGGTGGAAGCTGAAGTCAATATTTCAGACTATTATAAGAAATTATAATTAGAGTAGGTCATGATTTCAGTCTCATTAGTTTCTCACTTCAGCTTATTTAAATGACTGAATATTTGCCAGATGGACTATTATTTTTAGTTTGAGTATTCATATGTCCTTCCAGGTGTGTGTCAGGATACCCAGCAGATTCCTGTCTGTAGAGGTTATCTGTGAGTAGAAGAGCCAGGAATGAATAAAATGGTCTAACTAACCCTAAATGGTTATTCTAAATGGTTGTTGAGGACAGCAAGGAGGAGGTACACAAAAGATTTAAAGATGAAAAAAGGGGGCAGAAGGTAATGCCCAATTTACAGACTATAATGATGAGAAGCTGGGGCAGGAGTCTAAAAAATTGAAGAAGAAAAACAAATACAGCAGAAAACCTACCACTATTGCAGGTATTCATCCCAGTTGGGTTGGGGAAGCTGCAATGTTTGATTGGAGAGTAACAGGGCAGGAGTAGGAGAAAATATTTTTTTAGTGGATGAATGAGCCTGACTGTGGGATTGCAGCCTGAAATGCTCTATAATGTAAGAATGGGGATAGAGAAAAACAAGATCTTGGAGGAGGGGTGGAGAAATGGAAAGGGCAGAGCAGACTATGATGAGAAACAGAAGGAAGAAAATCTAATGTGCATAGATTTCAGGGCATAGCAAAACCATAAAAGGGATATTAGTCATGTTAGCAGGTATCTGGGTAAGCTGAGAAAGATTCAGACCTGTGATAGATCATCATATATATTCAGACTTGAAGAAACAGAAATGCTGAGTGATGAAGTGTGAGGGAGGGCTGGAGCAGAGGTGGAAAATCCGAGTGAGAAATCAGCACTGGGGGACATCAGGGCGGGAGCAATGGCCTGCCCAGATCCATTTGAGAGCAGCTCACTTGGCAAGCAGGAGGTTTGGAACAAAAACTGCAGGCCAAATGAAAAGAAAAGGTCAAGGTAACATTCCCTGAAGTGCCAGCTCACCAAATCCAAGTTGAAGCCACCAAATCCGAGTGTGGGAAACACTGAGGAGAAGGAGGGATCAACCCCAGGAGTTTGCATCTGAGAAAAAAGGCTGCTAGAAAGAAACTGAGTGTTTGACAACAGCAGTCATGTGAAGGGTTGAATGCAGCATTGTTCCTGACAGGAAGAATAGTAAAGAAAGGAGATTTTCCCTAAAGAATGTAATCTTTCCCATTTAATAGCTATTTTTATGCACCGAGATTTATTTCTTATGAATGTCTGTGTAATGTTTTTACTTCACTTTTTTTAGGAGTTCAATTCCTTATGCTAACTTCAGCTGCTGCTTCACTCTTAAGTTTGATTATATGTTGTTGAACTAGGGAAATATTATGTTGGCTTTAGTTGGTAATGGTATCTGACCCTAGAGAGAAAATGCCTTAGAGAGAAGAATAAATTTGAACAAATAGAACATTGTCCAGCAATCTACTGTAGCAATTCTAACCTTCACAGAGAGATTCAACATTGATAGTAAATTCTTTGTAATTGAAGATATTGATTGTTTCAATCTCTTCAAGTTTTAATAGCTCAAATTTGAAGCAACTTTGGCTGAAATGCTTCAGTTTGCAAGTCTAAAAGTTGTATTTCTGGATGCACAGTTTGATGATTGTGTTGACAGCACAAGTTCTATTGCATTTATTACAGAAAACTCATCAAGCTGTTTCTTCTAAAATAAGAATTGAAATAAGATAACTATTGACTTTGCTACTTCAATAAGATGAACGTGACTATTTTAGTTTGGGTGGGTTATCACTGGCCATAGAATATAGTGTACAAGTATCTTTTTTATATCAATTGATTTGGGTTCATTATCCCTTCATAAGTTTTTCACAGTTTCTCCATGTTGACTGCATTAAAATTCACTTCAGTTTTGCTGAGATTCTGCTAATGCTCTTCCCATAAAAAAAAAGCCCAAATAGTTGTAGTCCCTAATGATTCTTCAGAAGAAAAAAACTACATAATTTGGCTGCATTAACATTCAGTCTAAATGAGATTATTTCTGGATTAATTCCAGTTATTTCCTTGGATTAATTTTAGATTCATGTGGATATGACTCTCATCAGAATCTGGGCCACTGCCTGCTAAATATTGCAAAAAAAAATCAGAATGGATGATGCAACCCTTTTATGGTTCCTATCCATCAGGCTGGTCATGGCCAGAACAATGAAATCAATCAACCTGCTCACCAGATAACACAATCAATCCTCATGTAATGCAGGGAGATGTACCGAGTGACTTATGGGCATTTCCATCCAGTCTACATTTGTGTTTCAATTAGTCAAGCAGTGTAAACAGTAAATACACCTGGGACAAAATGAGGATTGCCTTAGTCTGGTACTTAGCAGATTCCAGAGGATACTAAAGGGGTAATATGTCTATGAATTCCTGTGTTCTTTACCATGAATTTTCTGTAGGATATGGAGGTTTTCAGGAGTTCAAAGCCTGCAAAATGCATTAGCTCTTTTTAAGGGAGAGCTAAGGGAGGGAGCTCTGAAGCTGTCAAGTGCTAACACTGTGCTCAAGCCAAGAGGTGCAGGCTACAAGGGCAGAGAATCCGTCGTGTCTTTTCTTATTTTGAACATTCTTCATTAGTAGCTAATGTTATTGCAGCTTGACCAGCACACTAGCTATGGCTATAGGGGTCGGGACTGTCGCAGTAATCTCTATCTTCTCCCGACGGGCGAAACTGTGTATTTCATCGCGTCTGTAGTCGTGTTATTCAATGTTGAAGAGCAACTTCAGAGACATTACACTGGTCATAACGATGATGTCAAGTGGTAAGTCACCTAATAACCATTCTTGTTTCCTTCATAAAACACTGTTTGGGATGGATCCACTCGTTTTCATTGCTCTTCTTTTAGGATGATTGAACTGAGTAGAATCTTTTTCTTCCCTGTTTTAAGTAGGATTGAATTATTGCCCTTCACCAGGGCCTGGATGCCAGGTACAGGTTCTTTAGGTTCAGTCTAACCAACAAAAGAGTTTTAATCTCACCTGTGGTATATCTGGTAGTCTTCAGGCAAACCTTCACCGTGGCAGATAGTCTTGAGCAACCTGCTTTGTTTGCAGCTATGCACACATGGCAGCTTGGGCTTCAAAGTGATTTAGCTGTGGTGAAGCTCAGAGGATACTAGATACCAGCAAATATCAATATCATTGAATGGAAATCAAAATAAACATATGGTTTATCTTGCTGGTGTCAGTCTGCTCACGGAGTGTGGCTGAAAAAGAGCACCTGGATTATCTGATGGGCCCTGATGTATGCAATGAGTTGGACATCCCTTTCAGATTAGGCATTATGAAACACCTTTTGTCCCTCAAAGCCAAAAATAGACCTGATAAGCAAACCTGTTTGAATTGTGAGCATGTTTCATAAATTGAATTATTTGTATAATCCAGTGGTTTTACAAGGAGATGTTTAACTTGGACCTGTTCCATCTCATTTCTTGCTTTCAAATTTTCTGTCTCTTCAAAGCTTTCAGGTTTATTGGAAAGAGGATACCTTTCTGCATCGTAAGGATGAAATAATTGTTGCCATAGTTCACTTTGTGGGGTATTTGGCCTCTAGAGCTGCATGCAAAGCAGCTGCAGTGAAAGAAGAATTCAGAGGATTTGGGGGAAAAAATAGACTGTATTCCAGGCTTTATTACAGATCTTAGGTTGTTTTTTTCTTAGAGACATTAGTTAACATTGATCACCATTTTTAAAACTTGTTTTAATTTTTGAATCAATATTCCAAATTTCTGTATCCGTTCTTAGTAAAGGACTTTTTTTTATTTGTTGAAAAGTATTAGAAGTTGTTACCTGCCTATAAAAGTCACTAAATGCCTGGTCATACAGCCTGAAGAGCAGTGTTTGTGTGGATACACCTGTTTGCTCTGGAGGACTGTCACTAGACAGCAATGATGGGACTGACCAGATCTCTGCAACCTCTGATTAGAGATAGCTGAAGTCTGATACCTAGCTCAGACTGCAAACTCCTTGTACACTGCACTCATTTAAGTCTAGGTGAGGTGAGTCCCATATGACTGGTACTGGGGCTTTGAGGTATTAGGGTTTAAGGAAATTACTGCCTTGTTCATAAGGGAAGAGGAGTTTTTTGAATACAGGACCAAAACAATTGTTTTGTCAGTTCTGTTTTTCTATTTTTAATAAGTGTACATGTATGCTCTGTGCTTTATGTGACTGAAATAGAGCTATTTATTACAAGCTGGAGTAATAGCTTGATGAAATAGATAGTAAATGGCTTTAAGTTTGGCCTTTCCTTCTTTTCTTTTTTAGCCTGGCTGTTCATCCTGATAGGATCACTATAGCAACAGGTCAAGTTGCAGGGACATCCAAGGATGGGAAAGTGAGTGACCCCTTTGCTTCTATTCCGTAAGAACTTGGCATTAAGAAGATGCATGGTATATTCTTTGCATGTTGTTGTTAAATTGGTCTTACATTTCTGGACTGAACACTAGCCAAACTTAAGTTGAGAGTGCCTCTATCACAGTTACCCAGGTCCTGTATCAAGATTGGTCAATGTTTTCTGGTTCCATGACTTACACAGACTGTAGGTAAATTTGCAGCTGGTCTGGAAGGGACCTGAGAGGCCAGATGGGTGTGGGGTAAAGAAATAGATTAAACTATACAAATGCAACTTCATTTCTGACCACAGCTACCAAATCTAAACTACAGGTAAGAATGGCTTTGGGTTGTTTGCTGAAAAAACTCCACTCTTCATCTTGCCATCATCTAGGCAAGAATATTTTTCTCTCTCTTATTACCTATATTATCATAAGGCTTAGCTGTAGGCTAGGAATTTATTTGAACAGAGCAAGATGAACATTGCTCCAAAGAGCTAAGACAAGTGAGAAAGAAAGGGTGCAAGCAAGGAAGGAAAACCATAAGGAGGAAGTTACTCATCAGAGTATGAAGACGATGTCACAACCAAACTATTGCAAAGTTTTAGAGGACAAAGAAGAATTTTATGATCAAAAAATGGGTTATCAATATGCTAACTACTTTAAGTAAATGAGTGTTTTGGTTTCACCCCAGGCAGCAACTAGGTACCACACAGCCACTCACTCACCCAGACCACCCCACTCACAGTGGGATAGGGAAAAGGATCAGAAAAAGGGTAAACCTTGGGGTTTGGAATAGGAACAGTCACTGGTGGTTATTTTCTTAGCTTTATAAATACAATTACTTTCCATTGTATTTCTGAAATAAAATATAAAGATTTGATGTCTGTGCTTCAGCAGAATGTGGTATATAGGTAGACCATTTCTACAACTGAGGTATTGGCGTGGCCTTGATTTCATTACGTATTTATTTATGTTAAAGGACAATTTCACTACTTATCAGCAAGGAAGGCTGTTGCCTTTTTGGGTTTTTTTCTGATATTTTAATAAAACCTATTCATTTCAGTGGAAAGAGACGGCAAAACAGGGGAAATAGGAGATGGTCCTTGTTTCCCTGCAAAGGTTGAGGATTCTGCGTTTAAACTCCTCATCAGGTTGAGATCAAACTCCATCAGCAAGTGCGTCCCGGGGCTGCCCCCTGGTGGCCCTGGGAGGCAGCGCAGAGGGAAGCCAAAGGCGGAGGGAAGGAAAGGAGAGAGGGATCTGCATCCATATCTGGAATTTCATATCCAAAAAGAAATCTCATTCCGTTTACAATTGTGAAGAACACTCTGAAGATGCAGTTCTTTTCTCTGGCCGTTTTTATGACATTGAAATTGCAGTTCAGAAGTTCTGAAGCTTCTTTTTGCACTTCCTGTCTGATATTTGCCAGAATTATCTCAGTTGGTACAGTTTAAACTGATGATCCTGGGCCTAGCAGTAAGTCCCATGTCACAAAATCACCAACAATTTTCACTTAATGAAGAGTGTCTCAATAGCTGTTAACTTCAGTGAACAAACTTGAGATCAGTGATGTGCTGGATGGTCTATATAGTCAGTCCCAGATGTTGGTCCTAGGCACAGGGAATCATCAAGGTTGGAGGAGACCTCTAAGGTCATCGAGTCCAACCATTAACCTGCCACTCTGCCTGCTGTATCAGTATCAACAAACCATTTCTAGTGTGTCTGTGCTTACCCAGGTGACTCTAGAGAAGTTCTGATAATTTTCATAATGTAAATTGCAGTGAAATGGGGTTTTTTTCAGGCACATTCTCATTTTTTTAAATCCTGATGGATTTTGGACATCATTGTTTCAGCTGACTCTTTCTGTATCTGTTTTACAGCAATTGCCACCACACGTGCGTGTCTGGGATTCTGTGACTCTGAACACACTGCATGTCATTGGAATGGGCTTTTTTGACCGAGCTGTCACTTGCATTGCTTTTTCTAAATCTGTAAGTAAAGGAAATTAATAGAATCATAGGATCATCAAGGTTGGAGGAGACCTCTAAGATCATTGAGTCCAACCATTAACCTGTCACTGCTGGAACCCCTAAACTCTAAACCAGATCCTCCAGTGCCAGATCCAGATGCCTCTTCAACACCTCTAGGGATGGTGAATCCACTACCTCTCTAGGCAACCTATTCCAGTGTCTGCTCATCCTAACAGGGAAAACATTTTTCCTAACATCCAATCTGACTCTGCCCTGTCTCAACCCAAGGCCATTCCCTCTATCCTCTCCCTGCAGCCCTGGCAGGACACACATCCCACACCTCTCTCCAGCCCTGGCAGGGAGCTGCAGGAGGTCACCTCTTCTCAAGCCTAAACAAGCATAATTCCCTCAGCCCTTCCTCATATGAAATGTTTTCCAGACCTTTTCTGCCCTTGTTGCCCTTGGCTGGACTTGCTCCAGTGCCTCAATGTCCTTTCTAAAGTGAGGGGCCCAAAACTGAACACAATACTTGAGGTTTGGCCTCGGACCACAAGGTACAGGGGGATGATCACTGCCCTAGTCCTGCTGCCACACTGTTCTTGATACATACCAAGATGCCATTGATCTTCTTGGACACCTGTGCACACTGTTGGCTCACACTGTGCCACTGCCACCAGCACTCCCCAGTCCCTTTCTGACAAACAGCTCTCAAGCCACTCCTCCCCCAGCATGTAGCACTGCATGGAATTTTTGGGTATGATGTGCAGGACCAGCACTGAGCCTTTCTGACCCTCCTGCAGTTGTCCTCAGCCCATTGATCCAGTCAGTCCAGGTCTCTCTGCAGAGCTTTCCTGCCCTCAGGCAGATCCACACTCCCACCCAACTTACTGTTGTCTGCACATTCACTGAGGATAGTCATATTAAGTCTGTTTGCTGAAAAGGTTTCTGAAGCCTTACAAATTTAGCTTCCTTGCCCAAAACAAACTTCCCTGCTGTCTTTCCTCTCATGTACCTCTTTAGAGGAGGAAAGTTTGCAACCCAGTTTGCTTTTAACAGTTTAGATTGTTATTGAAGTTAACAATATCTCAGCAGTCTCTGAGATCTACCTTATGCTTACCATAAAATGCAATTAATTTCTTCAGGGACAAGCAGTTGCAGAAGTACTTGTATACTTGAAATGTCAGTATCCTTACTTCTCTTGAATCATCCTATTCTGTTTCCCCCTACATAAGACAGTTACTTGCTCTGCATATTTTAACCCCCTGTTAACTGTGACTGATGAAAGACTTTTTAAAAATGGAAGTTCCAATAGGAGCAATAAAATCTTTTGCTTGAAAGCAGCAAAGACATGGATAAAGGATTGTAAAGCAGACTTGTTGTTTGCTTCTTGGCATCAGCCTTTGAAGTCTAGTCTATCAGAGAGGTAAAAAAAAACCCATATGCTGATATAGGCAGAATTCAAGTCCCATCTAAAACCTGATGTGCACAAGTCTCAAAGCCCTCCATGTACAGCTGTGTACGTGGTGGTATTTGGTTGTCTCAACAGCCTTTTGAAATAGGAGAGGACTAAATGGTCTATGCCCTAGGCAAAATGTACTTTGGTGAAAGTTTCTACAAACACTTGAAATCCATTGATGACAACGTTTTAGGAAAAGTAGAAGAGAAAGGAGTGAATTGGGAGAAGTGGTTAAAAATACAAAGGTGAAAGTCAGCGCAGTTCAAGATCACATTTGAAGGAATAAAACAGAATAGCAAGGAAATGCTCTGTAAATACCTTCCTGGAGGGAAATAGGTGCTTAATAAGAGAAGGTTGCTATTGACATGTGCTAGGAGAAAGCAAATATTTAATATGTTTGGTTTATGCTGTGATTTCACAGCTCACCCTGTTCTGAGCATCACTTCCATTCCGTAGCAGTACTGCTTCTCTCCTTTTTCAGACAGTCCTCCTCAGGTTTCTCAGTCCTTCTCTGTCCCACCTCTTGAGCTGCCTTGGCACGCTTATTTTTGTAGCTATCTCTGAGACGTGTATTGCAGGAAAACAACCAAGTAATTTCATGTGTAAGAAAAATAAACAAAGCAGGGTTTCCTTGAGTTTTCTTTTCCCCTCAAAATCACTCTGTTCCCCAAGCAGGTTCACTCTGTGATAGCCAAGACTTCTGCAGTGGCTCAGCTCAAGAGGCAGCAACAAGTGGCACTGCTATGGGTGGCAGAGGAAGGGCTGTTTGTGTCAGCACTGTGCCAAAAGAGTTCTTGTCTAACCACAGGCTGGGTCTGTTCCTGTGAGCTCATCTGCAGTCAAAGCTAATGTAACTGATGCCAGGAGAAACAGGATGCAAAAAATCGTATTTGAATGGATTGGAAAGCAACTAGACATTACTTGGTGGTTTATTCCACTGTAGACCCACAGCTAGGAAGGAACAGCAAACAAATTGGGGAAAATGGTCCAAAAAGTACCTTCCAGGTAGATACAGTTTGTAAAAGATCTGTTTATTATACAGCAGTTCCCATCACTACTTAGACTGATGTCAGTGAGCCCCTAGTTCAGGTAGGGTCTTGGTTGGAATTTGGGTTCATACATCAGAAAAATGGGAGAAGATCTAGGAAATATGATGCATGAAGAAAGATTAAAGGAATTAAGGTCATTAAGAAAGAGTGATAGAAGACATAACTATAAAAAAAGACACCTGCCAGGAGTAAGTGTTTTCTAATTTCCCTGGGTTTGATCCAATATACCAATATGAAGGGTAAAATTCTTCCCCATGCTCACAGAGATCTGAGAAGAAATAATTGATTGAAATTGCAAAGAAAGAAACTCAGGATAATTATCAGGAAAAGCTCTTTTAACAAAATGGATAAGGGTGTGTAGTTTGCCTTTGGAATTTCCACCTCTGAATGTTTGTAAAATGTACCTCCCTCATTCCTGACATTTAGCTGCATTTAGCCAGAGTTTCTCTCCTAGATCTATTTTTAGCCTTAGTTTTCAATGACCCTATAAATTATAGTTTATGGAGATCTATGGATAACTAAAAATATAACAGCTAAAGTGTAAATATGTATAAATACTTTCACTTCCACAGAAGTATTTAACTATTTTGAGTGTGTATTTATGTGTTCCCCACGTTGTTTGGGTGCTGCATTCATATTTTCCATGTTTTGTCTCAGAATGGAGGAAGTAGCCTGTGCTCTGTGGATGACTCAAATGACCATGTGCTTTCTGTGTGGGACTGGCAGAAAGAAGAAAGGCTGGCAGATGTCAAGGTGTTGCAATAAGATATTTTGTACTACTTGCTTGTATGTAGACCTGGATTTCTTGTCATAAAATGTCTTTCTGTACTTAACTTCTTGTGCCTTTTTAACACTTTCACCTTACAAAAGGCAAAGAACATGAAGGAAATGAATATTTTCTCTCTGTTGGGATTATCCCAATAGTTTGGGGTTGGTTTTTGAATTTATTTTACTATTGTTGTCATTCTAGAATGGATTAGAAAGGTCTGGGCAGCAGTGATAGGATGTGCAGAAACAAAATGTTTCAAACTAATCTTTTTTGTTGAACTTCTCGTTATCTGACATGGTTTTGAAGGATAAATTTTGACACTAACTTTGAAGGCAAAATATTTTATGTCTTTCGAAGTATTTTACCAAAGTATTGCAGGCTGTGTAAGTAAATGAATAACTCAGAATTTGCCTTGTATCAGGAGTTTATATAACTAAAGAACTGTGTAATAGTGTTTTGTTTTCTTTGAAGTTTGGATTTTGATACAATGTTTTTCTTTTTCCTTTCAAGTGCTCTAATGAGGCTGTATTTGCTGCAGATTTTCACCCTACTGATACAAATATAATAGTTACTTGTGGAAAATCACACCTTTATTTTTGGACACTAGAAGGGAATTCCCTTATTAAAAAACAAGGATTATTTGAGGTAAAATTAAATATTTCTCTGATTTTGTGTTTGTATTATGTATTAATGGTACAGACATGCAGAAGTAAGGGTTAATAAGGTTTGAGTAAATCAAAACAAGTGATGATTATTAAACTTGAAATTCTGCAGAAGCTCAGGTGGCATTTATGGTATGGGACAGAGAACTTTTCCAAGGGTGAAACTTCCACGTTGAAGTTTTGAAATGCCATTGCCATATTGTTCCTCATATTCTTTTTCCTATATTCTTTATGCTACACATCTCCACCCACCCACTCCAACCCATCCCCCTGCCAAATAAAATGACCTGAAAACTCTCCATGACTACCTCATGTTAAAAATAAAACACAGAGAGTGACATATGCTGGAGGGTTATTGTTAATGTTGTCAGAGGAAAGACACAAAACCCCATAAAATACGTGTGTATGAATATTCTTCCCTTTTCCTCTGTTCTGCTCAGATACATACACAAATGTGTAATACAAATAGAGACTGAGCTGACCACTCTTTGGTAAATATCATTTTCATTTCAAGGTCTTGATTTGGTTTTGTTTTGGAATACAGACTAAGCTCTCCAGCAGTTGCATGCACAACTGAGGGATGTTTGCGGTGACTGCAGATAACTCCAGCAGGGCCTAGTTAACTGCTTGTGGAGTCCTGGTTTGCAACTGTAGTCAAAACAACTATTTTGCAATGTCCATTAATCTACTTGGTGTGAAAACAGGAGGAGATGCTGAGATAATGCATTTCAATTTTGTCACATTTTAGTTTTCATGCATTTTTAACTCCTAAGCTGCTTGGGCAGATTTCTCCCTCTGTTCTGGCTCTGTTATTCTATGGTTGTTGCAGATGGAAAAGTGTGGTGGCCCTAGCTGAGGACAGTCCTTAGTTTGAGGGAGAAAGAGGTCCTACACACAGATTGTCAACAAGGAATGTAAATAGCATCCTTAGAAGCCACTAGTGAATTTTTTGTTCCCTTATACATTGCATTGTTTTGTTGCTGCAGAGGCTCAAAGCAAAATTTCCACAACTGAACCCTGAGATTCTTTCCAGGGATGATTCCTTAATTCTTACACTACAGCCAAACCCTACTAGTACTTTTTTCTCCTAGAAACTTTGGAGTTAAAAATTATCATAAGAAAGCTTGTTTGCATCTTTGGCCATTCCTAAATACTTAAAGTCTTTGGGATTGTGCAGTAGTTGGGGGATTCAGTTTATCTCAGAGCACTCCTGGTCTTGTGTTAGATGTTGACAGGTCTTGTCACTCACTCTATCCCCAACCTGCAATGAAAGGGTGCAGGATTAGGCCACCAACCTCAGCTGATGCAGCTTCTGCCCTTGCACAGATTAACTGTTTACACTGTAGGAATGTGTTTAACTCCTGTGTAGATACTTAAGTAATAATAGAGCTGTGTAAGTCTCAACTAAATTACTCAAATGCATAAAGTTAAAAGCAATGGGTTGTGTGTTGCTGTGAGTGTGTATTTTTCATAACCATGCAGAAACAAGAGAAGCCAAAGTTTGTCCTGTGTGTGACCTTTTCTGAAAATGGTGATACTATTACAGGAGACTCAAGCGGAAACATTTTGGTTTGGGGGAAAGGTAAGATAAGATTGAAGCTAATGGTGACATTTTAATGTAAAAGGGTGTGAATTTTTACATGAGTGTAGAGATTCATTTTAAGAAGAATAAATTTTGTTTTCTCTTTGAGTTCTTTCCCAAAACCACTCCAGCAGGGTGTGTCTGGATTCTTTTCTAGAAGAACCTAAAGAGCATCTATACCTGACTGGTAGAGCACAAAATCCTATAGAATGTGTTCCCTATGATCAAATACTGACTCACAGAGCTATGCCAGCATGTGTGGCTTTTGCTGATTGAAGAAGTGGCAGGAAAACCTCTTTTCCTTAATCATTGTGATAGAAAGAAACATTGTCAATCTAATCGATGATCTCCAGTCTCCTACAGTGTCACTCTAGTGTTTGCAGAAATGATGCCTATTGACATACACTTTTAAAAATACACCAAATAGCTGTATTTATTTTCCTAGGAAATCAAGCTGAAATATATTCAGATCTAATTGAATTTCTCAGCTTTATTTCAAAAGAACAGATGGATGGGAAGAGCTTCTAAGAAAGCATTTTCTAGTAAGAAGAGACTTTTTTCTCAGGCAGCAGAAGGCGATGCCTGCCGGAGGGCAAACAGCAGCAACATCCTAAATGTTTACTCAGTGCATGAGGTGCCATGCCTAGGAATAAGGAGAATCCCTGAAAGGAGCCTTATTAGTAAAGGAAGAAGGGATATGGATGACAGTTGCTTCCTATTTACTCAGTGCTTTCTCCCAAGGTACTTGAAGGGTATAAAACCCAGAAAACAACACAGTGAATCAGTTACACCATTGAGCCTTACTGAGCTGTTTGTGTAGACTTTTTTTCATCCAAGGACTGTCAGTCAGTTATCTCCTTATGCTTCTGACCACTACACTGCTGTTGAGGAAAGGGTGGCTCCTCTGTTGTTTCCCTTTTCTTTTTAAAGCATGACATTTAAAACACTTTTCCTTCTGAACTGAGTTTAGAAATTGCATAGTCCCATCTCCCTGTTCCTTACTGTTGTTTTGCACTGCCAAGAGACAAGGGAGATAGTGGCAGTTCTGGCATGGCAGGGTCAGTGCACTGCTCAAGGGCTGGTTTGTTGTCAGAGAATCATAGAATCAGCCAGGTTGGAAGAGACCTCAAAGATCATCGAGTCCAACCCCACCGTGTCATGCCAGTACACTAATTTCTGCCTCGGCTGCAAGCAGAAGATTGCCCTTTCTCCCAGGAATGCAAGGGAATTCTCAGTGTGCTCAAGATCTCCTCACCTTCTGCTGGCTCTTTTGGGTTGGACAAAAATATTGTCCTTGTTTTTGTTTCTTGGTACAGTGTACTTGCTGTGTGTTCACTGCTGTTGACTCAGAGCTCTGTGTCCACCAGGTCAGAGTTTTCTTAGCAAAAACTCTGAATAGAAATCAGTTGTACCTGAGCCATTATATCCATCGATGTGGATGGAAGCAAATGGGATTTATAAAAGTAAAGGCAGTTGGTTCTTCCTAATTTGCATCAGGCCCTCACTTGTGCTAAACAACAAGTTAGCCAAGCTTTGATGCAAGGGGCACATTTCACTACTCATCATTTCTTTATACTTCATAATAGTAATGGTTCATCAAAGATATTTAATATCATGTATTCAATTTTGAAGGTGTTTTGAGTCTGAAGAAGTGTTTGAACAAGCCAAGTTCATCAATAAAGAAGTACAGGCTCTTTTGGAGAGTGATTCAGCTCCTTCTGCCAGATGTACAACAACCTCTAGCTTAGTTAGGGTTTGGTGCAGGTTCAGTGTCTGGAGGCTATGAAATATCCTTGGAGGATAACCAGGACTGGGTTATGGTTTCTCTGTTGATAAGGTATGTAGTGCTACTGCAGGTCAAATGTGTCAAATGATTTAGCTTAAACCCCCATGAAAGGTTTAAATGAGCCTGTTTTACTTTGTGTTCAAGCTGAGCTATGTACACATTTCATTTTTGAGATGGGAGAATATATCATGAAATGTATTAATTGAGCCTCTGTGGGTCTGTGTGTTTTAACCCAGCACTCCATGCCCACTGTTAACATTGCTTAGATATAATCTTTGATGGATAATAGAGAAATAGAGAAAAAAAAACCTGGGAGAAATGGAGCTATTAATCTGAGTATTTCAATAGTGCTGTTTTTCTCCTCCTGTCCAGGTACCAACAGGATAAGCCATGCAGTGCAGGGGGCACACGAGGGTGGAATATTCGCGCTGTGTATGCTGCGAGATGGCACCTTGGTGTCAGGAGGTGGAAAAGACCGAAAGCTGATATCTTGGAATGGAAATTACCAAAAAATTCACAAGACTGAGGTGATATTGCCTGTCTTGAAATTACTCTGCTACTCAAAATGCAGTTCTGAACACCAGTTTTTTGATTTTTTTTTTTTATGGATGTGTATTCTGTGGGAAAGCAAATCAGTGGTAAAATGCAATATCATTTGAGTCATCAGGTAATTCCTGTGATTGCCTGTGAATTCTTTAGCATAGTATTTCCTTTTTAAGTTCTATGGTAACTGGAAGACAAATCTTGCCTTCATATCTTCCATATTATTTCTTCCTTTCTTTGTAGGAGCTGCAATTAGTTGTTAGGAGCTGCAGTGGCAGGACAGGAGGCAATAGGTAGAAATTGAAGGAGGGGAAATTTAGGTTAGATATTAAGAAAAAGTTCTTCCCTGTGAGGGTGGTGAGACACTGTCCCAGGTTGCCCAGAGAGGCTGTGGCTGCCCCAACCCTGGCAGTGTTCACAGCCAGGTTGGATGAGCCTTGAGCAGCCTGCTGTGGTGGGAGGTGTCCCTGCCCAGGGGTCTATAATATTCGTTCCAACCCCTAAATTTCTATGTTGATTCCATGATGATGATCATGACATGAGATCATTTTTACCTTCAGAGTATTCCAGTGTTAAAAGGTTTTTGTACTTTCCCCTTTCTCAAAATGATGTGAGGATTTTGGGGGGAGAGTGTTAGTACTTTAAAGTTTTTCATTCATTTCTTGGTTGATGTTGGATTTGTTTGCATATGATAAAAAAAATCTGAAAATTAATCAAGTTGCAATGTAGGAACTTAAAGGATTCAAGCAGAATTTGGACAGAACTACAGAACTGTTTAGGTAATGAATGTAAGAGCAATCAATCAGCACAAAACTCTGAGGAGGGTTTAAACTCTACTACATAATATGAAATGTTGCAAATATATGTGCAACTGGAATGTCATGTCTGGTTTTGTATTTCAGTTTTAAACACAGCACAGGGTGCATGGTTGTCATTGTGCTGTGGTGTCCTTCTTTTCTCTGATTTGCTCATAGTTTGGCATTCTTTGTTATTGTACATCTTCCCTTGAACTTTATAGTAGAGATTTGCACTGACTTTCAGAATCAAGGCTGCAGTTAAAGAAACATTCATTGCAAGGGAGTGCTCTTGAGTAGAAATGCTTAGTCTGATATCACAGCAGCAATCAAATATGATTGAGTTAGCACAGCGTGAAGGAACTTTTTCTGTTTGTTGAAATACTTGGGTTGTCTGCACAAATGGACAATGTCTTGTACTGTTATAAAAACAGTTACTGAGCTGATATAAGTTGTTCTAAAGTTTTGCAAGTCAACACACAGGAATCTATTTCATTTCTTCTCTGTGCATCTATGAAACACATTTGCTAGGCCATATGTCTTTAAAAATAGCAATGCTTGACAAATTGTCTGACTTATCTTTCTTTTTGTCCGTTATGACCACAGATTCCAGAGCAGTTTGGTCCAATCAGAACAGTAGCAGAGGGAAAAGGGGACGTTGTATTAATAGGAACCACTAGAAACTTCGTCCTACAGGGCACGCTATCAGGAGATTTTTTCCCAATTACCCAGGTGAGCTGGGGTTGCCTTAGAAGAACATTTCTCAATGTGTAATCGCAGTGAAGGTATTGCTTAAAGTTAAGTTTCATATATGTGCATGTTTGATTTATTATTACAGTACTTTGGCAATAAATAATGTTGTAAATATCTATTTCTCTATGCCAACATATGTTTGTAGTGCTTTAATATTTAGTTTGGTCATTGTAATACTGTTTGAACATGTTTAGTTTGGATGGTTTGAATTTCTTTTCAAGAAACATTTCTGCTTGTGTAGGGTCACACTGATGAGCTTTGGGGACTTGCAGTCCATTCCTCTAAACCTCAGTTCTTCACGTGTGGACATGACAAACACATTACTCTCTGGGATGCTACCACTCATAATCCTATCTGGAACAAGATTATAGAGGTATGAATTTATTAAGCACAGCTCTCCTGTTATAGCAATTCTCTGTTAGTCTGGGTTTTCTTAAGATTATTGATTAAAAATATTTTAAAGTAGTAACTTGAAAAAAAATCATAATTTTTTCCATTTGATTATAAACATAAAACTCTTAAACATAAAACTCTTAAAACCAAGAATTTATACTCTTAGGTTACATGGATCTATGTGTTGTATCATACAGAAGTGTACAGTGCTGTTGGCATCTATATTTTTTTGCTAGGAAGAGAACCACAAATACAAGACTAGTAATACTGATCAGGACTGGTACTACTCCCCCTATCTTCAGCATGATAGTCAGAATTCAGAAGGAAAAGAATGTTGTGTAGATGTTATTGTTTTCTATAGTTATTTTTTAGATAGTAAAGAAAAGAAAACAGTGGCCTTGTATAGAGGAAAAAAAATATACTGCATAATATTTCAATTGGTTAAAAATGGGGTTTTCCCCATTAAGTTTGTATTGAAAAGAAAAAAAATCAACAAGAGACTTACTGTGCTCACAATTAAATTGTGTTTCTGTTATAACTTCATAGCTTGAACTGGTAAAAAAGTGTGTTTCTTTCTGCAACATTTCAGGATCCAGCACAGTCTTCAGGTTTTCATCCCTCAGCATCTGTCGTTGCAGTAGGGACACTGACTGGAAGGTAAGATGCACAGAGCTACACCTTGGGCACCAATAAATCCTGATTTTTACACCCCATATCTAAGTTCATGTTCTTGTTTTGCAGATGTATGCAATACATATCTTCATTCCCTACTGATTTTTATTGAGTTTCAGATGAAGTTTATTTGTATTGCCTTAGAGCCTAGAAACCCTAGACTTGGGCCAGCACCTTGTGTTTGCTTAGTGTTGCATGAAGAGAGAGATGATTTCTCCTCTAGGAGAGCAGCAATCTAAGAGCAGTGGGAGGAGGTGGGAAAGGTCTACAGAGAGACCTGGGCCAACTCAATTAGTGGCTGAGGACAACTGCATGAGGGTTAGTAAGGCTCAGTGCTGGTCCTGTCCTTGGGACACAACAGCCCATGGAGCTCCAGGCTGGGGGAGCAGTGGATTGAGTGTTGTTGGTCACAAAGGAACATGTGCTGTGGAAAATACAAGCACATCCATACACAAGGCAGAGAATGAACAAACAAGTGTCAGTGCAGAACAGGTGATGAACAACCTATAATAAAGTATCATGAGTTACTCTAATGCTTAGGTGTTTCATAAAGACACTTATTTGAATCTATGGCAATTTTGGCTTCCTTCCTATGTATTGAATGTTGCGTTTTTCTTTGCATTTCTCATCTATGCAAAAGCTGTAAACAGATGTCTTTAAATCAAAGAGAAAGATAAAGGTCAGCTTTCATATTTCCTTATCAAAACTGCCTACAGGTTAATAATTCTTGTTTTCTTTTAATGATGGTCTCTTCTGTCGTGTCTGCAGGGAGAGGACTAGAGGGAATGGCCTTGAGCTGAGACAGGGCAGAGTCAGACTGGATGTAAGGAGAAATGTTTTCTCTGTGAGAGTGTTCAGGCACTGGGATACTGCCCAGGGAGGTGGTAGAGTCACCATCCCTGGAGGTGTTGAAGAGGTGTCTGGATCTGGCACTGGAGGATCTGGTTTAGGGTTTAGGGGTTCCAGCAGTGACAGGTTAATGGTTGGACTTGATAATCTTAGAGGTCTCCTCCAACCTTGATGGTTCTGTGACTCTATGATTCTATGAGGTGGATTTAGAGAGCGCAGGAAGTCTGGGTTAGCAGTGAGACCAGGCATGGGCAGTGGCATAAATGGTAAAGCTTTGTGTCCATCAGGGCAAAGGAGAGGCTGAAGGAGGAGTCTGAGATCGTGACTTGACTCTGTGGATAGGGACAGAGATTTTCTCTTTGGCCTTTAGGGCAACGTGGAGGAAATCACATGGAAAAAATTTTGTGTGTTGGAAAACATAGCGAGTGGTTCGCGATCCCTAATGCAGTGACAACCAGAGGCTGTAACAAAAATTTGGCCAATGTTCCACTGTGCTAGACATAGTGTAAAAATGCCTATTAAGAGACTTACTCTGTGTGAAGAGTGTAAGGCATAAACAAGACAGAAAACTGAGGTGAAGAGTAACATCTCCATTTTGCATGGTAGATTGAGCCCTCAGTCATGCAGGCACCAGTGACAGACTCTGGGTTATCCTTGGGTGTCTGTCACAGGAGGAAGTGCTTTTCCCTAACTTCATCCTCTCCTTAGTGTCACTTGAGGGCAGACTTGGCTGTCGGTCTTGAAAACAGTTCCACTTAACTGAGAACATATAGGAAGCTGGTAGGTTGTGAGCCAAGGTTCTTTCAGATTGCATATCAACCCTAAAGAAAGGATTTACTTTTGTTACTAAATGAAGTAAATCCAAAGGAGAAGCTTCGAGGGAAATCTTTTCTTTGTCTTTAGTAATCTCATGCAAGCATTGAAATGCAGATTTTATCTTTGTCCTTTCTACACATTTCCACAAGTTAAATTTCAGTTCATTGAAATAAATTCATTAAATTACAAAAAAAATTATGAATTAGTTCACTTCAAAGTAAACCAATGAATATATCTAATTCTTCTATCAAAAGAGAATGGACCTGATTCTTGCATATGTTTTCCTTTGCATAGAATTTCATGTAGGCATTGATTTAAACATCAGCATAGCACAGAGGAGGGACATTAAAAAGGGTCATTGTATGTAGTGTTTACTTCATGCATGACACAGAGTAAAACACACAAAAGTCTGAAGATTTATCTCCGGTTCAACACCTGATGATTTTTCTGGTTAAAAACCATGGGAAAGAAACTATCCTTGTGTTCAAGTCAAAATAGACAAAATGTGTACCAGTTGCTGTTTTTCTTTTCTTGGTGTAAAACTTATGCTATTTTGACAGAAAAAAAGTTGGTCAAGCTTACAGTAAATTTCAATCCCTTATGGAGTGATTTTTTATTCGCCTCTTTCTGTATTTACAACAGGTGGTTTGTGTTTGACACAGAAACAAAAGACTTGGTCACTGTACACACAGATGGAAACGAACAGCTGTCTGTAATGCGTTACTCACCAGGTTTGAGAACGTTTATTCACTGGGGAAAAAAAAAAAGGCGTTGAAGTTCTCTGTTAAATTAGGGGTTGGTTTGTTTCAAATTCATTTCCCGCTTGCCATACTGAAGTTGAAAATAAATATGCCATGAAACATTGGCAAGACTGGCTGGGTGGTGCCCTAAGCTCTAGTTTTCTTTTCCCTGCCTCCCTCCCCCACATGTTCATTATGGTTTCGCTGCAAAGAAAAAAAAAAGAGGATTTAACTGCAGAGGTTGTTGCAGTCAGGTTAGCCCTAAATGGACTGTAGCTGCTCCCAGAAGTGTGGTATGGTTTTAACACCAATATTTGCTGTAGAAACTTGCTGTTTTGTAGTCTTGAGACATGCATCAATCTGCAGCTGAGAAAGAAAAAACAGAATTTCATTTTCTCTTTTTTTTTTTTAATCAAGGCCTTTAAGAACAGTTCCTCCTGTCTGTGACATACTAGCTTTGCAAAATTAGCCTAAGTTCTTTCTTACAGGAATAATTTCAGTTCACTTCTGTGTTTATAGATGGAAACTTCTTGGCAATAGGTTCCCATGACAACTGTATTTATATATATGGTGTAAGTGAAAATGGAAGAAAGTACACTAGAATTGGCAAATGTTCAGTAAGTAACCTTTTTTTCTCCTAGTTCAATATTGACAACTGAAGTGTGTTTTGTAACACTGTACTAATACTGTCACACTGAGACATGCTGTTAGTGCAGTTAACATAATATTTTTCTCTTTGTAGGGTCATTCCAGCTTCATTACTCATCTGGATTGGTCTGTTAATTCACAGTATCTTGTGTCTAATTCAGGAGACTATGAAATCTTATACTGTGAGTAAGAATTATATTTAGGCCTTTTGTGCAAAGTTCAGTCTAACACAGATTTAAAATTCAAATGAGACCACACAACTGCCAAGTTCCACCATATGTTTTAGTTCATCTGGTGCAATCAGAAATCTATACAATTTAAGAATTAAAAATGTTATCATGTGTTTGGTTTTTGGTTTTGGTTTTTTTGTAGGGATTCCCTCTGCTTGTAAACAAGTCGTGAGTGTTGAAACAACTAGAGATATAGAATGGGCCACTTACACCTGTACTTTAGGATTCCATGTCTTTGGTAAGTATATTTCCTCTTACAAGCTCTTACCATTCTTTTATTAACAAACACTTGGGTTGCCAACTTTTGCTTATGAAACATGACTATTCATAATTCAGGGAAAAATACAGAACTTCTGTCATGCCATTTTTATTACAATCTGTCTTCTTATCTCAATCCAGAAAGACTCTGATTTAATATTCTTCCTAGCTTCAAGTACAAATATTAAATTGCGGCATAAGTGGGAGGCAAGGAAGAAATCACACTCTGCCCTTTCTGTCACACTGGAACTGTTTCTTTCCATTTTTCACTTAAAGTACCAGTTCTATGGAATTATCATTTATCTAGGCAGGTACTGGGTCAAATCCCCTTACTAGAACTCATTTCATTTGCTCTAGTTACTGTGCAAACACTAAATGGATCACAGTCTTCCTCATCAAGAACTTACCATGTATTTTGATACAATCTGTAGCAATTAAATTAGGTGAAAGGAATCAAAGAAGAAAAATGTCACAAAAATCAGTGTGGTTTCCATAGGACTTCTCTTTTGTCAGTTTTGAAGGATCCACTTTCCTCAGTGTACTCTGAAGCTTTGAACTCATTCCATGAGGTGTGCAGAACTAAACAACTCATTACAAAAACTGAGTATGAGAAGGTTCAAGTTCTTGAGTCCTCAGAGAAAATGGGAAGCTGTGGTAGAAGTTCAGAGAAGAGTCTGGTTTAGCATAAGCAGTAATGAAGGAAGATTTGCACACACATTTCAGATAGAATAGATGCAGTGATGTGTTTGAAAGCAGCCAGAAAGGACATGTTTTCTGAGCCTGAAGATGGCATGGCAGGAGCAGTATGCTGGGAAAACACAGTCAGATTTTCTGTCATTTAACTGACAGGCAGTGCTTGGGAATCACCACAGCATGCAGATTGAGTAAAAGGGGGGAAATCCTGCAAGATTGGCTGCATGTTAACAGAATGTGTGTCTCATATGAGGGATGGAAGCCCTTATGGAACTATTAACATATTTCTGGGGTTTGAGCACACCTGACATGTAGTTACAGAGCTGCAATGTCTTTGCATTTAGCATCACAGGTTGGGATACTCTGAGATACTAAAGACTTTATGGGAGTATTCCTTATTTTCTAGTTCTGATTCATTCAAAATGTAGTGCTAATAGTGTATGGGCCTGTCACACCTGAGAGAGGTTTTCCCCATCCCTTGCAGCAGAGCAGCTTTTGGAGACAGACCATGGGGCAAAACAATCTGCTGAGAGGGGAGAAGAGGCAAATCTGCTAAGCCTAAGGTGTTAAAAAACCCCAATGCTTATTTCTTTTTTAAAATTTCTTTAATAAAAGACTTACTACAATCTGATGATAAACCCAGTTAGTGTCAGTAATGAAAGGATAAGACCTCTGCTTTCAGTAGGGAAGGAGTAGGTTGGAAAGTTGACATAAGTCAGATATGGCAGTCAGTGTCAGGACCTGAGGGAATGGGCTGAAATTGTGTCAGGGGAGGGTTAGGCTGGAGATTAGCAAATGGTTCTTCTTTCCCCAGAGGTGTTTGGGCACTGAACAGCTCCCCAGGGCAGTGTCACAGCCCCAAGGCTGACAGAGCTCCAGAGGTGTTTGGCCAATGCTCTCAGGCACAGGGTGTGATTGTCAGGGATGTCTGTGCAGGGCAGGAGTTGGACTGGATGATCCTCAAGGGTCCCTTCCAACTCTGATTATTCTGTGATTCTGTGATCTGAGTGTGATGAACCTTGTTGTACCTGAAAAAAACAACTGGGTAGCATAATCTTGAGGCCACTAGGACCTATTTGCAGGACCTCACAGGAAACAGGCAAAGTACTGAAAAAAATGGAGAAGAATGAATGCAGTATCTGTAGGATCATGCATCTGCCTTCAAAGTCTATATGGAGAGGATGAAGTGCAAAGTTAGTGGCTAGAATAATAAATTGAAGAAGCTCATAAATTATAAACTGGAAACCAGTCTGTTAATGCTGGAAATCACTCTAGTATTCAGTGCTCTGGGGCCTCAGAGCAGCCTGGATGAACAGTCTGTATATGCTTGCTGGGATTGCCCCACTGAACACAGATGCAGCAATCACAGTATCTAGGATGTGAGGCTTCTAGTATATTGATTTTTCAGTAGCTACTGACTGCCTGAAACTAGGAGTATTTTCTCACTCTGATTGAACCACATAAAAATCACAAACATTGCATAGCACTCACAGATCAGCATAACCAATGCAGGGGGGGAATGAACATTGGTCTGTTGAACACCTGTCCTCAAGCATGGGAACAGATTAGTCAGCCTGGAACTGTTTAGTGATGATTCAACTGCAAATCAACAGCATGTAAAGGGAGTGTGTTTGAGGGAGGGTAATTTAGTGGTACAAACACATGTAAATGTGAAGGAGCAAAGACTTGAAAACATGCTCTTTCAAGGGCCTTGTGCTGCTGGACACACAACCTAGGCACCACTTCACAGTACATGCCCAATTTGGGGAAAATTGGTGCTTGAAGTGAAGGACAGGAACAGAAGAAATAGAAGGTGCTATGCAAAACCTGACAACATTGTAAGCAAAGCAGAGCTCAGACTGGTTGGGTTCAAAACTGACCTGAACACTGTAAACTAAATGTTTGTTTGTTTGAATGTATTTATTAATAGCATACATGATAAATCAGCAAGTATCATTTGGAGGAGGCATGAAGCTGCAGGATTAGCAAGTTGTCTTGAGAAACAGAGGAACAGTATGAAAAAAGGAGGCAATTCAATTGAGCCGAAGAGCAGATTCCACACTGGTATGGGAGAACCCAGTTATACAAATAGCAAAGAGATGAAAGCAGGCAGGAGAGCAGATCTGCACAGAAAGATCAGATTACTCTTGCATGCAAACTGAGCATGAGTCAACAGCATTATGCTGTTGTAGGGAATGCAGATGCATTAGTGGGATGTGTAATGAAAAGGATGCCATGCGAAATGTGAAGCATTTATCAGTATCTGCTGCAGGCACAGCTGGAGTAGCTGCTTCTGGTTTTCACACATTGGACCAACAGATAATGTGCTGACTAGCAAGAATAATTATCCATCTAAATATTGTTCTGGGAGAAGAGATGTAATGAATGGATTTTAGAGAACGGGAGGGGAAAAAAAGCATGGCATCAATCTTCAAATGAGACAATGGTCTCTTTACATGTCTGCAGAGGATGGGGGGAAAAAAGGACTAATTTTTCAGCAAGAGGGATTAAATTTACATATTCAGAAAATCTGGCACTGGGGTAAATTTTGAAAGAGCAGAGTTTCAAAGAAAAACTCTTCTATGATCCTTTCCCCATTTCAGAGTGGCAGTCTTGGTTCTTTAACCACTTCCTTTAGGATTTATCTCCAGCTTTTCATGGTGACCTCTTGGGAAGACTCCTGCCTCTTCTCAGCTAGCATTTGATATTCATGCAGCCTCCTTTTTGTCAAATCAGATATTTAAAACAGCTCTTCTGTGTCTCTTTGTGCTACATTTTCATAATTGTTCATCAGAAAGGAACTTGGGAATGCTAGTGGACAGTGTCTCAGTGTGAGCCAACAGTGTGCACAGGTGGCCAAGGAGGCCAAGGGCATCTTGTCCTGGCTCCAGCAGAGTGTGGCAGCAGGACTAGGGCAGTGTCATCCCCCTGCACTGGGCACTGGGGAGGTCCCAGCTCAGTGCTGTGCTCAGCTTTGGGCACTCACTGCCCAAAGGACATTGAGGCACTGGAGCGAGTCCAGCCAAGGGCAACAAGGGCAGAAAAAGTCTGGAAAACATGTCATATGAGGAAGGTCTGAGGGAATGGGGTTTGTTTATCCTTGAGAAGAGGCTCAGGGATGACCTCATGGCTCTCTGCAGCTCCCTGCCAGGGCTGGAGAGAGGTGTGGGATGTGTGTCCTGCCAGGGCTGCAGGGAGAGGACTAGAGGGAATGGCCTTGAGCTGAGCCAGGGCAGAGTCAGATTGGATGTGAGGAGAAATGTTTTCCCTGTCAGGGTGTTCAGGCACTGGGATATTGCCCAGGTAGGTGGTGGAGTCACCATCCCTGGAAGTGTTGAAGAGGTGTCTGGATGTGGCACTGGAGGATCTGGTTTAGGGTTTAGGGGTTCCAGCAGTGACAGGTTAATGGTTGGACTTGATCTTGGAGGTCTCCTCCAGCCTTGATGGTTCTATAGCTGCACAAGTAGCAATTATCGTGTTTCCTCTTTGCACATTCCATTTCCTTGGGCCTGTTTTTTACCATCCCTGATCTAGCAGAGGTGTTTCTACACAAGTTTGGAATGTTAAGGGCCACCTACAAATCAGTGCTTTGTATTTTATTTACAGCAGCCTGTAATTCCTTATAAAGACATGGAATCACCTCCTTGTAGTGCTGTTGAATTGCCATGCAATGATACAGACTGTATTTGGGCAGAATTACATGTGGATCTAGCTGTTCCCACAGTGCAGGGCAGGTGCCCACTTGGGTGTTACAAGGAGCCCAAAGAAGGAGAAACTGGAGTGGGACTGAAGATGTCAGTAGTCTCTGAAAGTTGGGTATGGTTTTTGTTGAGTAGGGATTAAATAAAATCTGAATGATGAAAATCATTTTTAAAAAGCCCACACTGCTTCACACAAAACCCTGAAATGTCATTAACTGGATGGATTTTAGTACAGTTGCAGTTTACTACAGGAAAGTATTCAGAGGCTCTAAAGATGTGGTGCACAGGTTTGGTCCTTGCACTGATGACACTATGGTTTAATTTTAGAACACCACTTTGTGCAAGAACAGCAAGGAGGAGAGTACATGAAGATGGGGGAGAATTACTTGCAGTAGAACAAAGGCATTAAAAAGCTTTATAGCATGTTCAGTTTGTTTTCAAAGCATCTATTAAGTACTAAAGAATAATTTAAACTATATAAGATCTTGTTTCATAGTTTTTGGACTTCAGTGGTATGAAGAACGTGTGTGGAATCATGTGTACAACGGGTGGGTTTTTTACACTACAGAGTTAGCTCATACATAAACTGAAGGGAAAATAAAAGCAGTAACTGTTATTTTTCTATGTAAGCATAAGAAAATTCTTTCAGGCTCAGACACATGACTCTAATTCAGCAGAATTCTTTTTTTAGAGTAAAAAGCAGTTTGCTGACTAGAAGAAATAAAGTTTGTTTATGTGCTTGATTTCCTATCAGGATTTTGCCTTTAGCTGGTACTGAACTACATCCTGACTCAGATGAAGTTATTTTTATAGTGTTTTCTTTGAACAAGTAATCCTTTATCAATATTTTAACAGAAACTTAAACTGTCACTTCCATTATTAAACCCTTTAATTAGTCCCTCTGTGTTTCAGGTGTATGGCCTGAAGGTTCAGATGGAACAGATATCAACGCTGTGTGTCGGTCACATGGGAGAAAACTGTTATCCACAGGGGATGACTTTGGCAAAGTACATCTCTTCTCATATCCATGTTCACAGTTTAGGGTAAGGTATTGCCCAACAATTTGCTCCTCTGAGTTGCACAAATGCATTAAGGAGAAAAGATTGCCCAGGGGGATGGTGGAGTCACCATCCCTGGAGGTGTTGAAGAGGCATCTGGATCTGGCACTGGAGGATCTAGTTTAGGGTTTAGGGGTTCCAGCAGTGACAGGTTAATGGTTGGACTTGATTATCTTAGAGGTCTCCTCCAACCTTGATGATCCTATGATTCTATAATTTTATGAAATGCTGTTTTCCTATGTACTAAAAACCCAAACACACCAAAGAAAAAGGAAGAATATTTATATGTCTAAGGGATTTATTTAAGGTTGACTGAGGCAACAGTTACATCTCTGCGTGGAGACCTCACAGCAACTTTTCAACATCTGAAGGGCCTACAAGGAGCTAGAGAGGGACTCTGTGTTAGGAACTGCAGTGACAGGACAAGGGGAAACTGAAGGAGGGAAAGTCTAGGTTGGGAGGAAAAAGATTTTTACTCTAAGGGTGGTGAGACACTGTCCCAGGTTGCCCAGGGAGGCTGTGGCTGCCCCAACCCTGGCAGTGTTCAAGGCCAGGATGGATGAAGCCTTGAGCAACCTGATCTAGTGAGATGTCCCTGTCCATAGCAGGGAGTTGGGACTAGATGATCTGTAAGGTCCATTCCAACCCATAAACTCTATAATTCTATGATTTGAAAGTTAATTTTGCATTAAAATACTCTCAGAGAATGATGTGGTGCCTTGGTTTCATGGCCATGTGAATGTTGCAAGGATGTTTTTATGACAGCTCATCTTCTAACATGGTGTTTTCCAGGCTCCAAGCCATGTGTATGGTGGACACAGCAGTCACGTAACTAACGTTGATTTTCTCTGTGAAGACACCCACCTCATCTCCACAGGTGGCAAAGACACAAGCATTATGCAGTGGCGAGTCATTTGAAGGCAACATCAGAGTGAACATACACAGTTGAGTTGACCATGCACAGAACTGATGTATAAACTGTATATTTAAAACTTAACAGTATGTTTGCAGTTTAGCCTGGTCACTGTGATTTTTATTTTTTTTTTGTTTAAAAAATTCTTACAAACCTCAGGAAAATGAAGCCCTGTGCTGGTTACCTTACTCAGTCTAGTGATTTGTTTTTTCATTGTGTCACACCTTAAGAATGATCATTCTCTATTGTACAATATCCAATGCAGTACAAGTTTAACATAAGAAACATGGCTTGACAGTTTTGCAATACAGTGGTATCAGCAGAATGTGACTATCTTAAATGTTTTTTATAAACACTGCTCAACTGGTCACAAAAATGCCTTTCAAAGACTGTACATATGTGCTTATTTGTTTCACTATCTACAGTTTGTACTGTATATCTACTTACTTAGAAAAATCTATGACAATGTCAAGGTACTGAACTGTTTCTGATGGAGGATGAGGAATAGATACAGAAAGGATAAACTGCAATGTAAGGTGCAAAAATTAGTGTTCTAAACCTGAAAATGTGAATGCTGGTAAATATGCATTCTCTTGGGAACAGCACCCCATGGGTATCAGCCATGAGGAGTTGTGTTCCCTCTCAAGTGAAACAGCAGGTTATGCCCCAGTTTGACCTGAATATCTCAGCAGGGTTTACAGGTGTCTGTGTGGTTCAGGTAGTCCATAGGAGTTTAAATTTTAAAAACCTTTTTATTTGTATATGAACAATTTCTTTTTGAAAACAAAACAAAACAAAAGCTTGGCCACATCCCCATTATTGGTTGATATATTTAACTAATATGTATATTAATCAGCATGATGCTATATTGTACATGTATAAGATTTTAGCAGTTCATAACAAATGGTAAGGCCATCTAGCTTTACTTTTTTTATGCTTATGGATATTGTATATTTGTATTTTAAGACCAAGTAGACCAAGTCTAAAGATATCTTTTTAAGTGTACCATAAACCTGCAGAGGGTAAAGGAAGACTTGGAAGCCTACATGAGATATTAATGTGTAACTTCTGGCCCCTGTGTTTTGTGCATGGATGGGTATTTATAGTATGAAATAAGATTGTGTTTTGCAATGAAGTAACAGTGGAGGTGGTATAAAATGGTTAAGAAGGCCTTATCGATGTTGATTGTGACACAGATTAAAATGTATTGTTTACTTTGGGGAATGTATCTGAAGAATTTTAAAAGAGGAGTTCTAAGTGAGCTCAAAAAACAAAAGGTGATATTAAAATTTTGCTTGTAACGGACAGTGAACATTAATTCTCTGAACTCTAAAGCACTGGTTGTTTAGAGTGATTCAAATGAAATGGAATCAATAAATTTTGAAACTTTTTTATTACATCTCCAACCGCCTACACTGAAAGTGCAGGACACCAATAAACATGTATTAAAGTGAATTTTCAATGCATTCTTCCTGTTTAGTAGAGTATCTTTGTTTAAACATGAAATACTTACAGAAGAGACAAGTTTTTACTTTACACCACTCAATTAAAATATCTCAATGAAAGCTGCATTTGAAAATACTTGGAAATAAAATCTAGGGTTTGGGGTAAATAATTTCATGTGTGATATGACCATGGGAAAGTAATGACAGTGCATTCCTATTGCTCAGTTGGGCTCATGGCAAGAGCTCCTGACAATTTCTGTGTTAGGAACTTGTCCTTAGGCAAGACTTCTGAAGGCCAGAGCTTCAGGGTCACTTCAACCTGTTCCTCAGAAAGGGACTTGGCAGTGCTGGTGACAGTGACTCAATGTGAGCCAACTCTGCACAGGTGGCCGAGAGAAGGTCAAGGGTATCTTGGCCTGGATCAAGAATAGTGTGACCAGCAGGACTAGGGCAGTGCTCACCCCCCTGCACTGGGCACTGGGGAGGTCCCAGCTCAGTGCTGTGCTCAGCTTTGGGCACTCACTGCCCAAAGGCCATTGAGGCACTGGAGCGAGTCCAGCCAAGGGCAACGAGGGCAGCAAAGGGCTAGAGCACATGGGCAAGGGCTGAGGGAGTTGGGTTTGTTTATCCTTGAGAAGAGGCTCAGGGGTGACCTCATGGCTCTCTGCAACTCCCTGCCAGAGCTGGAGAGAGGTGTGGGATGTGTGTCCTGTCATGGCTGCAGGGAGAGAACTAGAGGGAATGGCCTTGAGCTGAGCCAGGGCAGAGTCAGATTGGATGTGAGGAGAAATGTTTTCCCTCTTAGTGTGTTCAGGCACTGGGATATTGCCCAGGGAGGTGGTGGAGTCACCATCCCTGGAGGTGTTGAAGAGGCATCTGGATCTGGTGCTGGAGGATCTGGTTTAGGGTTTAGGGGTTCCAGCAGTGACAGGTTAATGGTTGGACTTGATGATCTTAAAGATCTCCTCCAACCTTGAAGATTCTGTGATTCTAACCTGATGGTACCTGGCACTGACACTGGAGGCAGAGGTCTGGCCCCCAGCTGTTTACTCCCATCCCATGCAGCAGTACAAGAGTTATTGTGGCCATAGGGCAGACCCAGCTGGGAGACAACAACTACTGCAAAACAGAAAACCTGTTTCCTCAGTTTCCTCGCCTGATTTAGCTGTGCAGCTGTGTGAATGCTTGTCCTGAGTTTATACAGAGGATGGAGCAATGTGGAAAAGAAAATAAATGGGCAGAGGAGAACTGGAACAACTTCTTTTGATAGTGGTGTCAGTCTCCCTCTTGAAGTGTGTGAAGCTAAGGCATAATATCCCTACTGTTTCTTAGGTTAATCCAGTCATAAGACTTCATAACACACAAGTGACAGGTTCTGGATGCTTGACTATCCCACAATACCTTCTGTTTGTTACTTTATGCTTTATTTTGCAGATGAGGTTGTTTTTGGGTCTCTACTTTCAGAATTGTAGGTGATTTGTCATTACTTGCAACAGAAAAATCAGGAGTTGCAAATGAGGTTGACTCGTTCCCTTTTCATCCTTCTCCCATGGTGCCACTCTTGGGCTGTATAATGCATTTGTGATCCCTTTCTTCATTTTAAACTGTTATCCCTTACAAGAAATAGATGAGGAATACTGCAAGTTCCTCCCTAGGGTTGCTGATCAAAGGGGATTTTCAACAATCCCATCCCATCTGTGCCTCTGCTTCTCCTCTGTTTCTAACTTTTGCTGTTAAATGTGTCTTTGTTCCTCTGTGAAAACCTGATAAATGTATTAGCTGAATTGGCAAATGGTTGGTAACATCTTGAGCCAAATATCCGTTTGATGACGGTTTAAGTGATTCTTCTTTCTTTATCCAGGAAACTCTACACAATTTTGCCATTGTTACAGATAATCTTCAGCTCTTCCCTCTTCCACCCTTGTTCCATGGGTTTTGCGTTTATGTGTTTTCTCAGGACTGTCCCCACTTTTGCTTTAAAAGAAAGAAGAGTTATTCCTGAACTTTGTGTATTTCATTCCCTCAGCTGCACCTGGGGCTCTTGCACCTGATTCCTTCACCTGAATCTCTGCCTGCAGCCTCTTTTTCTGCCCTTCCAGTGAGTGTGAGGCTGGTTTTGAGTTCATGGCTGGAGATACAGCCCAACTTCTTCTCCTGCTCCTTTCCTCCCCTGATCCTGCCTGCAGCAGGTGCAGCCCTGCTCAAAGTAGAGACTCATCTCTTCATGTCTCTTGTGTATTGCTGTTGCCTACCAAGCATTAAGCTACTCCCTTTCAGCTCTCTTCGGTTTCAATTCCTGTTTCTTGCTTTTCTTCCCTTCATTTCTAGCATTACTCTTCTGTGACTTCAGCTTCCCGGACTATAACCACCTTAGCACTTACTGGCACATTTTGCTGCCCTTACCTGCTTGTAAAACCAGTGGCTCTGACTACCTCCCTTATTGTTTGGGGCCGAGTTAATGGTTTCTTACTGTATCTGTGTCCCTGCTGCTTCTGAGACTTGCACTTACTGATATCAGTGACTGCATCTGCCTTCAGCCTCTTCTTCCCTGCCCTCCCACCCCCTTCTGTGAGGCACTGAGGTGATCAGTGCTGACTTGTCATTTCTTGATTGTCTCAGTTTCTGGGCAGCCTTAGATTTTGAAATGTATTTAGGGTATGGATTTTTTCTCTGTTGTATGAAATTTAGCAATGCTGAGAAGCTCACCATGAGCTGCAGT